TCCCGGGCACATCTCCCAAAACTACAGCAGCGTGAACGCATGAATCCCCTCTGCGAACCATATACCCACCGCCCTTCCCCCGGGGCTACCACTGTGGGTTTCCGCGGGATTGAGCCAGGAGCCAGCCCAGGCCCCTTCCCCTGGGCTCCCAGTCTCCACCCCCAAACACAAGCCCATCTACCTGCTGCTTGGCCCTGTCTCTCCACGGGACACCTGGTTGTGGTGGAATCCTGCCACTTCCCATGAGTGGAGGAGGTTTGCATTTGGCACGGGAAGCTGGGAACCGTTTCCACCTGGCTACACTTTTTCTTAATGCTTTTTGGGGGTCACACCTGGCAGTGCTCAGGACTTAGTCCTGGTTCTGCACACCAGGATCACTCCTGGTGGGTTTAGGGGACCATAAGGGTTAGGGGATCGAACCTGCATCAGATGCGTGAAGGGCCAGGGCCCCTCCTCATTGAGCTTTTAATCCCAAGAAGAGCAGTCACTTCTCAGTGCCACATGACATATACATCTCAGGGGCTGTAGCTGAGAGCCCTCATCACTGTTCCTCCAGGAGCCCCTGCAGGAAAGGCCCCCCAGACCCACCAGCTTCTTTGGGAAAGTCCCTCCCACTTTTTTTGAGGGGTTGGTTTTTTCAAATCTTTTATTTCTTGCAAAATTTCCACCACTCACTTTCTTTGCCCTGGGGGCATTTCTTATTTTCTTTGGGGGTGAGAGACAGGAAAGGGGGAAGGCACCTGCCGGACATGTGGCTGACACCGGTTCAATCCCCAGCACCAGATATGATCCCCCAAGCCCCTCCACGAATGATCTCTGAGCAGAGCCAGGAGTGAGCACTGACTCACCAGAAGGAAGGGGGAACGGACAGACATGAACTAAACAAAATACAGCAGGCCCACTCCAGACAGAGTATTTTCAAAAAATTTTTGAAAACCTGGGATCAGAGCAGTAGCACAGCGGGGAAGGTGTTTGCCTTGCACGCAGCCAACCTGGCTTCAATCCCTGGCATCCTACAGGGTCCCCCGAGTACCGCCAGGAGTGATCCCTGAGCACAAAGCCAGGAGGAAGCCCTGAGCACCATTGGGTGTGACATAAAAACAAAAACTAAATAATAAACACTCGGAGATCAGTACAGAGGACCACAAGCCTCGTGCAGAGTGTGTAAACTCAAGACTGCAGCAGCGGCGGTAGGGATCTATCTCTCCCTGACACCTGCGTTCGGTAGTCCCACGCCGGTTCCCCCACCCTTGGGGAGGTCGATGGCGAGGGGCAGGCGAAGGAAGGAATGAGGGCCAGGCTGGTTGATGTCAGTTGCAGTTTATTCCAGTCCTCTCTCCATCCACTCCTGTCTCTCTCCTCTGCCTCTCCTCCTCCTCCTTTCTCCCCCATGCTACTTCATTCTCCTTCTCGATCCCCCTTCATTCTCCTTCTGACTCTGCAATCTGGATACAGATCCCGATTCCCTTTCTCCTCTTGCTCTGGAGTCTGATTTCTGATCCCCCAGCTCACTCTTACAGTACAGTTAAATCCCAAAGCTTGAGGGGTTGGGCTAACAATTACACATAGGTGTGGTCACAATCAATAGGGGTAGAATTCTTTCCCTCAGGGAAGGTCGCTTCTAGGCCAGATACTCTCTCAGCAGGACGACCCACCCTAGAGCGGAATCCCATGGGTGTGTTTCTCCTCTCCTTGTCCAACAAACATATAAGCATTCATAATATAAATCATTTTGTATGGATACCATAAGAAATACCTTAAACTTATAGAATTGCTCTCCTAGGGCCATCTCAATCTCAGACTACAGTGCTCAGGCCAGAGAGTCTTTCCTATCCCTAACAGGGTCCTAGTCTCGTCGTTACTTTTGGATCATGACAGCATTTGTCTATGATCAAACTCTTAACTTATAGTTAAGAATCGTGGCACTGTGGCCTGGCCCATTTCGATGCCAGGGTAGCTCACTGCTTGCCCTGGGTCCATCCAGTCCCTCGTCGGGACCCTGATTTTGGGGTGTTAGGAACTACGGGCAACTGAGGCTTAAGTCGAGAAAGCAGATGCCCGGGAGTGAATAAGATTCAGGGCCAATTAAATCCTAAGTTACAAAGCATAATATCAAGGGTCTTCCTGTATCTATACAAAAAGGACACTGCTTTAAAGTAAACTATTCTGGGGCTGGAGAGATAGCACAGCAGGTAGGGCGTTTGCCTTGCACGCGGCTGACCCGGGTTCAATTCCCAGCATCCCATATGATCTCCTGAGCACCGCCAGGAGTAACCCCTTGCATCACCAGGCGTGACCCCCTCCCAAAAAAAGGAAAAAAATAAACTATTCAAAAGACATAAGGAGAGGAGAAAGGCAATATTAACTTACAATACAATTTCAGTGTCCTAGAAGGACCTGACCTTAAATATTAACAGAGTCTGATTAGGGGGAAAAGCTGATTAACTGGTTGGGTAAGAGAGCAGAGAGAAGTGGTTGCAGATAAACGAAGGAAGGGGAGTGACTCGGGAGCACTGTGATGGGTGTAACCTGATAAACCTAAGCTCCTTGTTGCAAGGGAGAAAGGACAAAGCAATGTTATCCTACAGCAGAGAATATAATGTATCCAAGGGGACCCCCGCTAGATTATCGGCAGATCTCCTAACATCATGTAAGTTAGAAAGAAATGTGGCGGGAGAGACCCAAAGTCCTGAAGGGAGAGGACTGTCAAGCGAAGACTGCTCCACCCTGCCGGCTCCATCCTCACTGGGGAGCGGCGGGATAACGCAGCGACTCCCACCAGACTGGCCTTGCAAGAAATACCAGAGTGTCCGGAGAAAGGGAACGGCAGAGCCTGGTGTGGGCCCTGGCACTACACAGGGTCCCCGAGCCCCAGCGGGGTGTGGCCTCTGTGCCCAGGGCTGAGCAGTGTGCTGGGGAGGTGGGGGCGGGGGGCGTGGAGGTCAGGGATCAGCGGACAGTGGGGGGCAGTGCTCAGAGAATCGGGGTTCAGTGAAGTGCAAGCTTTGCATACATGAATGAGATCTAGGCTTGAGCCTCAGCACAGCAGAGAGACAGAGACACAGAGACAGAGAGCAAAGAGAGACAGACACAGAAACACAGACAGAACTCAGAGAGATGGAGAGAAAAAGAGACAGAGACAGAGAGAGGGAGACAGACACAGAGACAGCCGAGGAGGAGGGAAGAGGAGAAAGAGGACAGAAGAGGAGCAAGCCCTGCTCCCCTGGTCCTCAGCATCACCAGGTAGCGCCCTCCAACCCCCCCGCCCCGTGCCCTAGCACCACGTGGGGACACCCCTTCTTCCAGGCAGGCGGTACCGGAAGGGACTGAAAGGAGACAGGAGACATCAGAGCTGGCTAGAGCCACTCAGCTCCCACTGGGCACTCCGGACCAAAGGCAACAGGTGCAAAAAAATGGTGTTTCTGCATGACAGAGGGTGTGTGGACAGAAAGGGCTGCGGATGGGGAGAGTCTGCACAAGCCCTCCACTAAGGGGTGAGGGGCTGAGACACCGGAGTCACTGCCCACAGTGCACAGCAGGAGGTGAGCCGCCTGATGAGACCGTCGGAAACCCCAGGCAAGGCACTGGCCAATGGATCTCAGCAACGGATGAGAAGGATGGTCACACACACAGATCCACGGAAGCACAGCAGGAGCGAGGACAGGGCTCCGTCCCGGGCATCCCACAGGGTCGCAGAGCCCAGCCAGGAATCTGACCTCAAAACCAGGTAAAAGCCAGGTCTGATGACAGAGCTCAAGGGGCTGCCGGGGAGGAGGCAGACCCTGGTTTGATCCTCAGCACCACATATGGCCCCTGGCACCAGATGGGACCCCAAAAAACCACCCCCAAAACCTTAAAGAAACTAAAGGATCACGTGTTGAGTGGGGTGTCCACATCCCTGCTGGACATACTGAGGACAAACAAATGAGTCAGTCACTCAGGACGGAAACATATGGCTAAGGACATTCTGGAGGTTTGGCCAACCCCGCAAACACCTGCAAGCATGGGGCTCTTTCATGTGGACTCAGAAAGCACAGAGTGAGCACTGTCCTGGCAGGGAGCCAGTCCCAGGGTGAGCGAGTGAGAGCAGGCAGCGGTGAGGGACCCTGTGAGGCCACAGGCTGGCCGGCCAAGAGCAAAGCCAACTAGCTGGGCCTGTCTCACGGCAGCTGACAGCACTGGACAGGACAGAGAGGGTGTCCACAGTTCACAGCTCACGAGGGGCTGGGGTGGGTGGGGCCTGCTGAGTGACCCTGAGACTTTTACCTACCCTCCTGCCCCCCAGCCTGCTGTCCCATACACAGGGGCGCCCGGCATCACTGTATCTCCCCAGTAAAGCACTTGTCAGACCCGACTGCAAAGAAGGGCTCCCCACTGAGAGTCCAGCACCTGGCAGGCCACACCCCGGCATCCCACAGGTACCCCCCCAACTGCCCAGCTCCTGCCAGCCCGAACTCTCCGCACAGATGGGAAGACGTGGAGCATCCTTCATAGAAAATAATTTATTCATATGGGGATCAACAGAGGGACCCCACTCTGGGGACCCAGGGCCACAGTGGCCTCCAGGCCGCACAGGACACTCGGGCAGTGAAACTTCCCCATGGGCTCTGGGGGACTACCTGCACCCCCAAACCTTAGCCACTGCTGCCCAGGGAAAGCGGGGGCTCCTCCACCCCCTCTGTCTCCTGCAGCTGGGCCAGACCCCATCACCCGACAGCTTCCGTCATGGGCCACACCACGTGAGGATTGGTCAACCCCACGCAGGACCAGGGTCCACACCAGTCTGGGGCCCTCCGTCCTGGGGGCTCCCACTGCAGCCCACTCAAGGCCCTCACGGTCAACTTGCTGTCCAGGCCCCGAGACACGCATCTGGGGCCCCGGGCTCTGTTCTGGCACGAGATGCAGCTGCTCTGCTCCGGGAAATGCAATCCTCAGCCGGGGGGAGGAGGAGGAGACGCGGCAGCCCAAGGAGGGCCGGGCCGGGTGCCCTCCAACCACAGCTACTGCTCTGGCCTGGGGGTCGGGCCGGGCACTGCAGTCTGTGCCCGGGAGTCCGTGTGGGCCGCCGAGGTGGCGTTCCAGCTCCCAGGGGCCTCGCCAGCCGCCTGCATTTTAAAGTAGACCAAATAAAACAGGGGCAGGACAATGCCGACGAGGAGCAGCAGCAGGACCGCCTTCCACCAGCGGATGCCCCCGTGGGCGCTGTCTGTGGGCGCCCGGGCGGGAGCGGGCAGCAGCGGCTGGCCAGCGGGGTCCAGGGCCATCTCGGTCTGCGCCGCACGCTCGATACTCTGGTCGATGTCCCTGAAGAAGCGCGTCAGAGGGCTGGGGGTCCCGGGCACCCCCGCCGCCGGCTCGGGGGGGTCCTCAAAGGTCACTCTGGTCTCCGAGGCCGGGCTGGGGACGGGGCTGAGCCCGTGGCAGGCCTCGGTGAGGACGCTGTAGCTATGCACGGGGATCCTGACGCACCGCAGGCCGTGCAGGTCCTGCTCCCGCACCAGACTGTTGACCTTCTTAAGGTCGGCCACCTGGGGAAGCCACGAGAGGGTGAGCGCGCACGCAGAGAAGGGGCGCCGGGGAGCCCACCCAAGCTCCCTGCCAGCCCGGTGGGGGGGGGCTGCACATGCCGCAGCCTCACCGTCACCCCAAAGATCGGCCAGATTCACGTCAAGGCACTTGGCTTCAAGCGCCATCAAACACCCGTGCAGAGACTCATGGTCTTCAGAAGGTCGCGGGGCCCTTTTTCACTTTATTATTTATTTATTTATTGGAGGGGGGCCACAGCCAGTGGTCCTCAGGATCTACCCCTGGCAGGGCTTGGGGGACCATGTTGAGTTCCCGGGGTCGAACCCAGGTTGGCCCCATGCAAAGCCAACGCCCTCCATGCTGTGATTTCGCTCTGGCCCCCACACGCTTGGTTTTGAAGCAAAAGCCACCAAGGCTCCTTCAGGAGAAGGGTCATCAGGAAAGGGGAGTCGGGGCTGGAGACTCGCCCCTGAACGTGGGTCGTCTCCCACCCCCCTCCCCCCCGACTAGAGGTGATTTAGGACTAGGGGGAAAAGGAACACAGGCAAAAGTTTTACCCGAAGTGTTTAATGGGGATCAAACCCACATCTTTAAAAAGGGGAGGGGCCAGAGAAGCGGGGGTGGGGATGGGGGTGTTAGGGTGCTTCCATGCTAGGGCACCGTGAGACCCCATTCCGCCCAGCACCCCCAGGGACAGCCCTCCCAGCCTGGCACTGTGAGAGGCCCTCCCCAATAGTAACAGTAAATTGAAATGGGGGCCACGAATCAAAGAGGAAGCATTGGTGGCCCCCGGCCACTTCTCCCGGTCTCACTCATACACACACAGAAGGGGCCCGAGACAGTGGGAAGGGCGTCTGCCACACCTGTGGCTGACCAGGTTCTCTCCCCGGCACCCCATATGGTCCCGAGCCCCACTAGGGTGGTCCCTGAGCATCACTGGGTGTGGCCCCCAAACAAAACTAAACTAGCAGGTGTTCACAGCCCCAAGCTCCAGGCTACTGGCAGTTGTTTTGATGAGGAGTTAAAATCTACACCCCAAAACCAAAGCCTCAGGGTCCAAGACTTGACGGGTACACAGCAAAAGCCCACAGGGTGTCCAGGTGAGAGAGACCGGACGTGCCTCAGTCCCCTGCTGGGCCACCCTGCAAGTAGCCGGGTGACGTGGAGCTGCACTGGGCGTTCGTTCCCCAGGGATGCACCTCAGCACCCCATGGGACCAGACTTGGACCTCTGGCTAAAAGGATAAGAGATGGCTCAAGGATTTTTTTTGGGGGGGGGGTTGGGCCACACCTGACAATGCTCAGGGCTGACTCCTGGCTCTGTGCTCAGGGATCATTTCTGGTGGGTGCACTCCGGGGACCCTATGGGGTGTTGGGGATTGAACCTGGGTTGGCCGCGTATGAGGCAAGTGCCCTCCCCGAGGTGGGTAGAGGTCACAGGAGGTCACAGAAAGGGCAAGACGGTGTGAGGGTGTGAGCAAAACGGCTCCCTATAAAGACAGCATTCCAGAAACACTTCCTGACTTACTTTGCTCGGTAAACCACTCTGAAGGCTAGAAACACAACCAGAGAGAAGGCGTTACACAGGGACAGGCCACGAAGCCGCGCCGTGCAGACCTCAGCCCCATGCATGAGCCCCGACTAGCAGGACTCAGGAAAGGGAGCCACGACCCCACAGAGCACAAAGCCAGGAACCGCACAGAGACCCCCGCCTGCCTCCCTCCGGGTCCTTCGAATCTTACATCAAACGTGCAAACGTGCTCTTTTTTTGTTTTAATGTTGATCTTTTTACAGTTTACTGCGGGGGGGTGGGGGGAGTGGAGGGCGGGCCGGTTCCTAAAAAGTTCTCCGGTATCCATGCAGTGTAGGGGAGGAAACTCGGGGTCTCTGCCAGCATGCGTCTAGCCCCTGCGTGCACCGACCGGCTGCATGCACCCGACTCTTTGACCTACAGCCCCCCTGGCCCCTGGTTCTTTGGTTCCACGGTTCTGGGGATGGAACCCAGGTCTCCACATGCAAGGTGCTTCTCCACGGAGCTATGTGGCTCCTCCATGTTTGCCTCTGGCCAAACGCTCAGCATCGCAGAAATGCAGTTTGGAGGCGGGGAGGAGAGAGGAGGTCCGTGCAGTGGCCCCCGCATCCCCACCCTGAGATTCGCCCCTCACAGACAGTGCCGCACCCACTCCGTCTCTCGAGTTTGAGCCACACACGGCGGTGCTCGGGGCACGGAGCCTGGGTCAGCGCGCTCCCCGCCGTCCACTGCTCCCGGGGCACATGCCTACATTCCCAGGGTCTTACTTGGCATCCGTACTGGAGGGCGAGCTTGTAGAGGTTGTCCTCCTGTGCCACTGGCCGCTGCATCAGCACCATGTTCCCCGCGCCTGCCTGCCCCGGGGAGGGGGCAGCCTTCTTCCGGTGCTCCTTGCCCCGGGGCCGCAGGGCCTGACCACCGTTGGCCACCACCAGCTCTTCCTCCTCCGAGGAGCCCTCCGAGCCTGCACCTCCACTCTCAAACACGTACACATGGCTGGTCCGAGTCCGACACACAGCGGCTGGGCCCTGGAAGGTCGAGCTTGGCCCCTCCTTCTGCCTCATTTTCCGAACTGAAAACCAAACCCCAGGGTTAATTCCAGAGACTCGTTGTCACGGAACTCCTCCTGCACCCAGACAAATGCGGGCGCCCCATCCTGGCCACCTGCACCCAGACAAATGTGGGCCCCCTGTACCCAGACAAATGCGGGCGCCCCATCCTGGCCACCTGCACCCAGACAAGAGTGGGTCCCCAGTCCTGGCCGCCGTACCCAGACAAATGCAGGTCCCCCGTTCTGGCCGCCTGCACCCAGACAAGGGTGGGCATCCCGTCCAGGGAATATGAAGCGGACGGGAGTGGGGCTCAGGGGTGTGCCTGGGAGCGACGGGCGGAGGCAAACCCCCCAACTGCGCTCAGCGGAGAGGACGCCCCCCCAAACTCTGGTGCACAAGCCAAGGGCTCCCAGGCGCCGCGTGCGAGGGCGAAGGTCACGGCCAAGGTCGGGCCACCCGGGGTCACATTCCCCACGGGGAGGTTCAGGTTTCGGGGTCACGCCCTGACCCCAAGTCTGCGGCGGGTCCCGCACAGCCCGAGGAAAGCGTCAGAAGGGGCCGCCCGGGCCCCGCTGGGCGACAGGTCGGGTCCGCTCCCCGGCCCTGCACGGGAGCCCCGGCCTCGGTTTCCCCGGGAGGGCTGGCCTCGGTTTCCCTCGGGGCGCTTTGCGAGGCTGGGGTCATCCCATAAAACAAGAAACAAGAAACGAGCGCTGGCCAGCACCAAAAAGCCGGAGGTGCCGACCCCGCGCTCAGGCCCGCGGCGCCTCAACAGTCCACCAGGCACGACCTCTGACCTCCGACCTCGGCCACCTCGGCTCGCCCGCGACTGCAACAGGAAAGTCCCCTAAACCACAGGGAAGTAACCCGACAGCACGGCGACGCGCGGCGCCCCGAAGCCCGGCGCGAAGCCCCCCACCGCGACCCTCGCGGGGGGACCCCAAGCAGGCCCGGGTACCTCAGCGTCCAGGCTCGGGCCACAGCGCCGACGCGCCGGCCCTACGGCTGCGACTATCAGCTGATTGGCTGTGAGTATCAGCTGGCCGGAGGGCGGGCCGGCAGGCCAGCCAATGGGAGCAGTGGTGGGCGGGCCTGGACGGATCTCGCGGAGCTGAGTGGAGAACGAGGCCGGGACTGGAGGCGGGGCCAGGGCTGCGGGCGTGGCCAGTCTGGGAGGGCGCGTGGTCCGGCGGGCCCGAGGCGGGGCCAGCGCCGGAGACAGGGCGGGGCCTAGGCGGGGCTTGCCCCGGCCCGTGGACCGGCTCCTCGCTCCGCCGGATGCAATTTCGGCCAATCAGGTCCCCGGACGGCCCCGCCTTCCCCGAGCTCCCGAGTCTCGGCTCAGCCCCACGTTGGTCACCTGGTCAAGAAACCTCGGGCCGCGCCCCGTGAGTCAATAATCTCTATCGAGGCAAGATGCTCATCCGCCCCCACTCCTTATTTGGTCTGTGGGTCACACCCCCAGATGCTCAGGAATCACTTCTGGCGGGGCTTAGGGGGGACCCTGTGGGGTGCGGGCAATCAAACCCAGGTAGCCTGCTTGCAAGGCAAGTGCCCTCCCGGCCCCACGTCGCTCCAGACCCCGCCCCCGGAAACCTTCAGTACAGTTTGGAGGGCGTTGGCCTTGCACTTTATCCTCGGCATCCCTTAGGGTCCCCTGAGCACCGCCAGGAATAATTCCTGAGCTCAGTGCCAGGAGCAACCCCAGAAGGGTGTGACCTCAAAATAAAACACAATGGCTGTGAGCCGGTCTCGGATGCCCTGCTATCTCATCCCCCGAGGCCTTACCTTGGAAGCAGCTGGAATGCCTGCGGACTCTCCTCTGGTTCTCCAACAGCGGTGCCTCTCCTAACCTTTGCTGGACCCGAGTTTCCGGAACACAGAGCTGCCAGTCTAGGGGGAGAGCCTCTTGTTGAGGAGAGACCCGTTAAACAGGTGGGGGGGGGGGCACAGCCGCTTCCCACAGCTGGGACATGCTCCGGGCCGTGGTTCCTAGGACACCAGGGACCCCACTCCGACTCTCATAGCCCCACTTCTCGGGCACCTTCTCCGCTGGACCTGCCAACCACCTTTTACCTTTGCCTCTGATCTGGCTGTAATTCCTGACATCTGGCCTGGGCTCACCCGGCTGCTGGTGATCCTTAAGCCTCCGGGACGGGTGACCGTGGGGGAGCTCAGCTGCAAGTTCTGCGTTTGCAGGAACAGACCCTCGGGGAGCACCGGACTTGGAACATCCTGAGAAAGTACCCTGGGAGGCATAAGCACTTCTGGACTGCTGCGCCCTCATCTGTCACGGGTAATACAGCTGACAGCCCCGGTCACACCCCCACTGCTGCGCCCTGGGAGTCAATGATGTGTATGGGGGCAAGATGCCCTGAGCTCTGTCCACTTGAGGGCCAAGACCAGCCCTGCCGTCCCAGAAGGCTCCAGGTCACAGTGCTCTGCAGGGTAGATCAGGAAAAGGGACTTGGAGAGGAGGGCAAGAATGCAGACAGCTGGGGGAGATGCTGGCTTTACAGGAAGTCAGTCACCGGTTCGATCCCCAGGCCCCCCCACCCCCAGCACTGCCAGGAGTAAGCCCCAAGCATTGCCTTTTTTGGTTTGGTGGCCACAAACCAAACAAGGCAATGTTCCCTCCCTCCTGCAACCATCTAATTCACCATTAGACCCCTGCCGGCAATGGGGTCTCTGCCTTCCCGTCACAGTCCTCCCTTCACTGTTGGGCTGGAGAGAGGACCCCGGGCTGCCCTGGGCTACCCGGGGCTGCCCCAGGCTGCCCCGAGACGCATGCAGGGAGTGCGCGTGGCCGCCAGAGGGCCATGTGGCACCACCGTGGGCCCTGCCTGGCCCTACATGCTGGCGGCTGTCCACACCACAGCAGTGGACAGTGGGCAAAGGGGCAAAAGCTGGAGGCCATCTCTTGTCCCTGTAACACCCAGGGGCACGGTTCCCGCTGCCTCTGTGAGCACTGAGCTAGTAACTCAGTGGAGATGCCGCGGGTGGGGGTGTAATCGGCCCCTCCGGCCTCGTCCTGGGTGCACCCGCAGACAGAGGTCTGGGAGCTGGACCGCAGGGTCGCAGCGCGGGCTCTGCATGTAAGAGTCCCGAGTTCAGCCCCCGGCACCACCTGGCCCCCTGCCAGCTGCGGAGGGGCCTGAGATAATATCTTTTACCGGGACTGTGCCAGGGGCGGCAGCATTGGAGGGAATCATGAGCACTGCGGGGGCTCCCCCAGACCTGCGCCCAGCAGCGCCAGTGGCTAGCCCCTGCTGTCTGCACACGCAGGGCTGGGTGACCCCCTCCTGCCCTCACTGCCATGTCCCTGCACGCGCTCTCTCATTTCCCTGCAATGCTCCTCCCTCACCTGTGGAGCGCCCAGGATAGACAGTCTTTGACCAGGACGGAACTGACCAGACATTCCCTTTGAGTTTTTTTTTTTTTCTGGTTTGAGGCCACACTCACTGGTGCTCTGGTGCCATTCCTGGCTCTGAGCGTAGGAGTGCCCCCAGCAGTGCTCACAGACCATATATTCAAGCGTCTTCCCTTCTGTTACTATTATTATTATTATTTTGGTCTGTTTTGTTTCTGTGTCATATCCAGCAATGTTCAGGACTTACTCCTAGCCCTGTGCTCAGGGATCACTCCTGGCAGTGCTCAGGGGGCCATATGGAGTGTAAGGATTGAACTTAGGTAGACCACATAAAAGGCAAGTGCCTTCCCTGCTGTACTGTCTCTCCAACCCCCCAAATTCTGGGAGGTCATGGTGGGGAGACTTGGGCCATACCTAACAGTGTTCAAGAACCCTATGTGGTGACAGGGATCAAACCGGGGTTGGCCGCATCAGGGAAGTACCTTCACTCCTGTACTATTCTGCCCCCATCTTATGGCTTTTATGCCTTCATTCTTTCATTTTTTGTGTGTGTTTAAAATGTATTTCAGGTGTTTTTTTGTTTGTTTTGTTTTTTGGGCACACTCGGAGAGGCCCAGGGGGGTCACTCCTGACTCTGCACTCGGGGATCACTCCTGGCCGTGCTCGGGGGATGCCAGGGATCAAACCCAGGTCGACCACATACAAGGCAAGCGCCCTCCCTGCTGTCCTATTGCTCTGGCCCCTCAAGTCTATCTTTTTCATTCTGGTACTTCTCCCTAATATTCTCTATTTTGGACTTATTTTCTTGGTGGTTCCCCTGGGAGTCGCTGCAGCATCTTAATCATTAACCATTTGGTTTGAGCAGAGCAGGCCCCTGCTGAGGGCAGACTCTGGAACTGGCTTCCCAAGCCAGGGCAGCCCCCGAGGGCTGGCCGTTCACACCACTCGCACTCGGGGTCACCGACGGATCGAGGGAGAATCCAGGCTGAAGCCCCATCTGAGCCCCACAGAACTTCTCTGTCACCAGAAACCGCCTTTGGGTGGATCTAGCTGAAGCCTGACTCCAGCTCCAAGGGGAAGTTCTCAGGTTTCGGGAGACAAAGCAGAGTCAATGGCATCCGAGAGGGGATGACGTTCAGCAGTAACCGAGCCCTGGTCGGGGTCTGATTGCATAGGGGATCCAGGGGCTAGAGAGCTGCCCAGATGCTGAGCTCTGGAAAAACAGTAATTAGCATTGGACTGTTTTGCCTCAGGGAGGAAGCCCCAGATGGCATCTCTTGCGTTTTTCAGAGCTCCCAACTGAGACCAAATGAGAGAGGGGCTGCGGGGAGAGTTCCACGGAGTTCACGGGTTCTGCTCGGCTGGTGCGTGAGATTTCCTTGCCTTGAGGAACTTTCTGGATGATCACAGGGACACGAAAGTCAACTCCAGAAGCCAAAGACCAGAGCTGCAGATTAGCTTCTGCGTGCAGCCGGTCCTGCTAGCATTAATTATGTGGGACCCTGTGTTTCTCTGGACCTCCAGGCTCTGCATAGGTGCTCCGTGGAGCTTAATCCACAGCCAACCTCTGGGCAGGCTCCTCCGAAGCTGAAAAGGACCACTTACCCCATAGGTGTGTGGGCCCCAGAACCCACCCAAACCGGCTGTGTGTGGGGGGGAGAGGTTCGGGGAAAATTCCCTGCTGGGCTCTGAAGGCAAAACTTTAGTTGGCGAATTTCCTGGCCTGTCTGAAGTCATAAAACACATCTCACGTCACTTTCTCACAGTGGTGGAAGTTGCAAAATGGTCTCTCTCCAGTCGTAAAAAGATCAAGTTCCACATACGCGTCCAAGCTCTGAGAAAATCCAGCCCCCGCTCTGCGCACCCTGGCTGGGACCTTCCTGGGGAAAGGGGACCGTGGAAGTTTCTTTGACCTTTTACACGCAGAGGACACTGGTTGTGGGTGGGAGGGGTGCAGAAGGGTCCCAGCCGAGACACTGGGGCAGCTTTTGAGGCCTTGTGGTTGAGTCTCGCAACAGCACTTTCCACTGACTGTTCGAGGGTGCCCCTCCATGCACCCCGGGGCCCCTCCAGCCACCAGGAAGGGGAGAAATGTTTAGGGCTGGTGTCGCTTCAGTAGCAGCTCAGCTGACCTGGACGTGGGCTTCAGGCAGAAACCAAGGTGGACACAGGCTCATGCCTGGCCATTCTCCTGTGACACCTGTCACGGCCGATGCTTTTAGATCCACAGGCTCTGAGGGCCTTGCGAGACGGAGGCAGAGCTGGGAGAAAGTCCCGAGGGCTGGCACCCCGGGAACTATCATCAGCACCATGTGGTGCTTATTTTTCCCACTTTAGATTCTTTTGGGGGAGTTGGGGCAAACCCGGTGGTGCTCAGGGATCACTCCCAGTGGAGCTTGGGGGCCCTATTTGGGGGCTGAACTGGGACAGCCCAAGTGCCACTCGGCCCGAGCAATAGTCCAGTCGGGAGGGCACTTGCCTTGCACACAGTCAACCTGATTTCGGTCCCCAACATCCCATAGGGTTACCCAGCACCACTAGGAGTGATTCCTGAGTGCAGACCCAGTTGTAACTCCTGAGCATCACTGGGTGTGGCCCAAAAACCTAGGGAAAAAGAAAATACCATGTATCTAGCAAGCAACTTCCCTGCTGGACTATCTCTCTCTGACCCTCTTCCTTTTTCCCATTTTAATGCCATTAACTGCACAGCAGGTCAGGGCTCTGAGCCCACCCAGAATTCAGGGGTCTGGACCCTCTGGGAGGGAAGGGGCTTTGACTGTCCATGTGAGGGCTGAGTGGGGCCAGCCCATTGAAACCCGCCCCTGGACTCTTAATGCACCAGACACAAAGCTGGTGCTCCGTGGCTGTGGCTGGTCTGTACAAAAGCTCAGATAAAAGTGCTCAGGAACTGGAGAGACAGTACAGTGGGCAGGGCACTTGCCTTGCATGCAGCCAGCCCAGGTTCACCACCCAGAATCCCATAGGGTCCCCCAAGCCCTGCCTGGAGTGATCCCTGAGTGCAGAGCTAGGAGTTTTCCCTGAGCACAGAGCCAGGAGTGAGCCCTGAGCACAGAGCCAGGAGTGATCCCTGAGCACAGAGCCAGAAGTCAGTCCTGAGCTCCGCCGGGTGTGGCTCCATCTGAGGGGAAGCCACGAAGGTCCAACAACCGGGCAGCTGTAGACACGGCCCATCCCGCTGGCCTTCTTTCTTCCCCAAACGTTCCTCTTCCTGCTTCTGGGAATCAGGCCTCCATAGTGCTATCCAAGGGTCTCCAGGGACACACGCAAAGGAATGTGGGGGCCTGAAGCCCGTTTGCAGGTGCAGTTCACCCAGGGCAAGGGGGTTCCGGCCTGCCATCTCCACATGTCCAGTGCAGCTGGGGGTGGGGGGGTATGAGGATGTGTCTGGGAGGGTCCTGGGTTTCTCAGCAGGGGGGTGGGAGGCTCTGAAGAGCTCCAAGCATTCTGTAAAGCCCTGCATGTCCTATAGTCGGGCAGAGAACCACAGCAAAAGGGAGAGAGAGAGAGAAGAGGAAGGGAGGAGAGAGGTGTGTGGAGGGGTCAGTGTGGGAGGCAGTGTGGACTCGACTCAGCAGGTTTTTTTTTTTTTTTTGGCTTTTGGGGCCATCCCGGTGATGCTCAGGGATCCCTCCTGGCTCTGCACTCAGGGGTCACTCCAGGCAATGGTTGGGGGACCTTATGGGATTCTGGGAATAGAACTCAGGTCGGCCATGTGCAAATTCCGGGCATAGAACTCAGGTCGGCCATGTGCAAGGCCAACACTCCCCGCTGTCCTACTGCTCCAACCCAACATGGCAGATCTGGTCTCTCTGGAGCTCCCCTACAGGAAAGGAGAAACACAAGCTTTCAGGTGGGGGCACCTTTTCCCCTTGCCAGCCTTGTCCCATGGGGCCCTCAGGATACCCCCATCAGGGTCAGGAGCAGGGGTGTGCGTGGAAGAGTCAGTGAGAGCAGTCTGGGGGGGTCCCTGCACCCCCACACAGCAGGGGGCACACATGGACACATGGACTCTTCGCCCAGCCCAACTGCATAGGCAGGAGGCCCCAGACCTGGCTAGCACCGCACGGGCTGGGGGGCCCCTGGCACCATCCACCACCACCGACCACTGCTGGCCATGCCAAGGGCTAGGCAGACCCTCCAGACAGCTGCGCAGAGACGGAGGAGTCAGTGGCCACTTTATTCAACACCTCCAACTCGCTTCCAATGGAATCACACAGTTCCCGTCTCCCAAAGGGGGTGCCCGGCCAGGGCTGGGGCTGGGGTCGGGGGGCTGGGGGCTGTCCTGTCTTCCCAAATCGTCGCCGACAAAAGCAGAATGTACAACACCGTGGAACAGTGGGCAAGGTGAGTTAACTGGTGGGGGGGGGGGGCGAATACAGTGCTCCAAGAGCCAACAGCAGTGCCGGAGGGGCTGGGGGGCCTTTGCCGACACTCCCCCAGAGTCGCACCAAGGAAATAGCACCATGAGAGCATCCGGCTCAGGGATGTGTCCCTGAGGGGACAAGGCTGGAGCTGACGGGGCGGGGGTGGGGGGTGGATGTGCAGCTTCTGGGCCAACCCAGAGGATCAGTGTTTGCCACGAGGCCAGCGTGGGCATCTGGGCCACCAAGTCCAACCCGACTGCTCGGGGGATGGCTTGGCGAGTCCGGCAGCAGAAAGAGCGCCAAAAGGAGGCGGAATTCCGCCCGCCCTGCATGCAGGGCTCAGGGTGTCTCGTGGCACAGCCGGGTGGGGGTTTTCGGGGCACCAGGACATGCCTGGCCCCGAGAGCCTTCTGCCATGCTGGGAGGGGAAGTGCAGGTGGCCTGGCCGGGAAAGAGACCCTGTCCTAGCCCTGAAGCACCGAAAGATTCGGGGGAGGTGGGCACATGGCTTCACTCTCTGCCCGTAGGCCTGTCAAAGCAGAAGCTGCCCAGGGGACGGACTCAGCACCGAGGAGGTAGAGAGTGGCCCCTGCCCCCTTTCCTGCCGCCCCCCAGCACAGACAGACACACACACACACGCGCGCATACACACACACACACACACACACACACAATTAGCACCAGGACCACGGGGGTGTGGGGGCCTTCTCACAGTCAACCTGTAGCACCATCGACCCTCCCACCCCAGCCTGTCCATGCCAGGGGCCCTCCGGCCATGCAGAGGCCCTCCCTGAAGTAGGGTTCTGAGTCCCGCCATGAGGAGGTGGACAGTGACCAGCCCTGAGCCTGGGCGGTGGGGGCCCCAGGCTGAGCCCTAAGAACCGTCCAGCTCCCAGAGCGGACAGCTTCTTGAGTCCAGGCAGGCGGAGAGCTCCGGATGTGGGGGACCTGCCCGTACCGGACACGTGCCCCTCAGCACCCTCTAGCTGGGGGTCAGCCGTCACCGGATCTAGCACCTGGGCACAGAGCACTGGAACCCTCCCATTCGGTTCCTGAGGGGAGGGTGGCAGAGGTGGCCAGTTCCAGCCCTTCTGAAACACTCTCCCCATTTGGCTGTGGATGCCAGCTGTCAGGGCAGGGCCTTCCAGAGAGGGGGCAGAGGCAGTCCCGCCTCTCAGAACAAACCCTTCTAGAATGCTCGCGTCTCATATGTGGGGGGCCCAATTCCCACCACAGGACACACAGCAGCAGAGTTCGAAGGTCCCTGCGGAGCCTTGCACCGGTGTCCCTCGCTCATGGCCACCCACGGAAGGTCATGGATGGACTTGGGGTTGGGGATGGCGGCCGGCCAGGGGCTGCAGCCATCACTTGGCTTCAGGCCGGAAGCCACATCCCCTTCTAGGTGATGGGTGGGGGGGAGGCTGGTGGGGGGCGGGGGCCGTGTGTGTGCTTAGGAAGGCGGGTGGCGTGGGGTCAGGCGCGGGGCGGGGGCAGCTGGGTGGCGTAGAAGTCCCGGCAGGTCTGGCAGCAGCGCTGGTACCACCGCATGTCCTGGCACAGTCCCTTCTCGCGGATGACCCGGCAGTAAACCGTCCACTGGTCTCGGGCACACTTATAGGTCAGGGCAGCTGAGGGGCGGGCAGAGAGAAGGCAGGGGTCGCGGAGGGAAGGGTGCAGTTGGGGGTCCCCGGTGGGATGCCTTTCGTGCTGGCTGCCCCCTCCCAGGGAATGCATCCAGGGTCCAGCCGCCTCAGGGGAGAGGCTGTTTGGTCCCGTGGGGGCAGTCTGGCGTGGGCTGGTGGTGCCCCTCATCCCCGTGCTCAACGCAGCTGTGTCTCCTCCCTCTCTTGGGCCGGTCCCAGGCACAGTCCAGGCGCCCGAGATCCCCAAACTCCAAAGTCCCCAATAATGCAGCTTTGAAACCTTCATTCTGTGTGTATGGGAGGGGAGGGGTCTGCTAGAGCGAGGGACGCCTCCCGGAGTGTCCATCAGGACAGGGGTCAATGTTGCTCTTTTCTGGGCCCTCACCAAGCCCCCTGCCCCTGAAAGTTCCCAGCAGGCGCTCTGCAGGGCTGGGAGGGGGTGCAAGATGGGGAGTCCTGCCTGCCCTGCCCACAGGACAGGGCACAGAAGAGAAAGGAACGGCCATGGGCACAGCCCTCGATGCACGCGTGACCCCCCAAACCGCCTTTCCCCGCGCTGTGAGGCCTGAGCCGTGGGGACCCTCCCAGCACACTCACCCAGGCGCGGGGAGGTGATGGTGTTGCCGCTGGCCTTGTGCGGGCAGGCGTCCTGCTGGCACTGCCGGTAGGCGACGGGCTTGGAGAGCGCAGGGCACTCGCTGCCGTGGCGGCCGGTGACCCGGTGCATGCACTGGACCACGCGGGACTGCAGCCCCTTCCCGCAGCTGGACGAGCACTGCGGGGACACGGCAGCCTCAGTGGGGCAGGATGCGAGAGACGGGCACCAGGCCCCACTGGTTTCTGGGGCGCCCGCTCCGTTCCCTTGCAATGGGGAGACCACGGAAAGGGTATCTGGGGCCGAGTACAGACGCGGGAGGCCCAGGTTCCATCCCCGCACGGCCCATGCTGCCCCGCACCCTGCCAGGAGCGCCCCCTTGAGGCCTGCCGGGTGGCCACAGTACAGGTGCAGGGGAGAGATGTGGGCATCCGCGGCCAAAGGGCAGGGGGCACCAGCACTCACCCTGGCCCAGTCCCCAGTTTTCCACTCGTAGCAGCCAGAGTGGTCCTCGCACGCCTCCTCGGCCTGCGGCCGCGTGGCAGGGTCACACCTGCCCTGTGAGTTGACGCATGTCACCGTCCGCCTCTGGGTACCCTTGCCGCAGCGGCTGGAGCACTGCAGAGAGAGGCAGCTCAGGGAGGCCCTGAAGGGACAGCGGAGATGCCCGGGGAAGCAGGGGGGGGGGGGGCTGGAGGCCAGGTCCCACTGCCCAGGAGACGCCCCAGCCACAGCTGGTGCTTGGGGGCGGGACCCCAGGTGGGGCCCTGCCCACCCTCTCTCCATGTCCGTCAGCCACGCGCAGCACATGCGACCACCGTCCTTGGGGAGCTTTGCGCCCCCAGGAATGGGACGTAGCTCTTCCTCCAGGGAACCCTGGTGGTGGAGCTTCGTCGAGACGGGCGCTTTTACAAGTGAGCTGTGTCAGCACTGGGGTCGCGGCGTCACCTGGAGAGGGTGAGGGTCTGGCCCCAGCACGTGGCATAGCGCCTGCGTGTGCGAGGCCCTGGCTTGATTCTGGGCACCGCAAAAGTCAAGGGCAATGGAGGCCTGCGGAGGGTTGCAGGGGGCTCGGGTGCAGCTCACCCGACCACGAGGCCCCGAGTCGGACCCCACAGCTGGCCTGCAGGCCCCAGAGTTCCTATAAAAAGTGAAAAGGCCGGACGTGGAGAGTCATGGGCTGGGCCCCTGCTCCTCTGGGAGCTTCTGCCCCCATTTTCTGCACCCCGTGCCCCCCCACTCCCCAGGCACCCCCAGGGCAACAGGTGTCTTGTGCCCACGTCGAGTATCCTGCTGCAGTGCCTGCCCCCAGTTCTGGACACGCTCTGTCCACTGTGTTCTGGTGCCTGTTGGAGTGTCAGCTGGGCCGTGACCAGGGTGGACGCAGGGCCCAGAGAGGACAGGGGCAGCAGTGTCTAGCCAGGCATGGAAACCACCAGGGCCACTGGCCTTACCTGTTGCCCGCTGGGGGTTTCTGGAAGAAGAGCAGGGGAGCTAGGCTGCGGCCAAGCTAGGTGGCAGAAAGCCCAGTTCCTGGGGGGCTGGCGGTGGGGGGCAGGTTTGATTCCAAGAAAGAAGCATTTTGCAGGGCCAGAGACAGAGGCCAGTTGGGCAGGGGCTGGCAAGTGGCTGATCCGGGTTCGAGCCCCGCCAGGAGGGATTCTTGAGCACAGAGCCAGGAGTCAGCCCTGATCACTGTCAGGTGTGGCCCCCAAACCCTGATAAAATAAAGTGTCTTTAAAAAAGAAAGGAAGGAGGGGCTGGAGCGATAGCACAGAGGGTAGGGTGTTTGCCTTGCACGCGGCCGACCCGGGTTCGATTCCCAGCATCCCATATGGTCCCCTGAGCAGCGCCAGGAATAATTCCTGAGTGCAGAGCTGGAGTAACCCCTGAGCATTGCTGGGTGTGACCCAAAAAGCAAAAACAAAACAAACATAAAAAGAAAGGAAGCGGGGAGGCAAAGGAGAGGGAGGAAGGGAGGGTTTTGCTTTGCTCCCTGGGTTGCTCTGAAGGAGACTGAGCTGGCGGTGTGTGGGTTGCTCTGGGATCAGGTTCAGGCTGAGGAGAGAGCTCAAGAGGACCCGGGTTTGATCCCCAGCCCTGCACCATTCCCTATCGCCAGGAGAGCCCCTGGGGAGTGGGTGCGTGTCCCCCAGAAACAAGATAAACCCAAACCACAATATCCAAGATGCATCGCGCATCTCGGGTGGAACTGAGAGCCGCCCGAGGGACAGGACAGTCGAGCGTTTCTCTTCTGGGTTTCTGGGCTCTCAGCTTTGCGTGGAAAGTCACTCCTGGCAGTGCCCAGGGCCCCGCAGGGGCAGGGATCAGCCCCAGAGCTGGGTCTGCTGCTGGATAAGTGTGCTCGCCATGGACCCTGGGGCCCAGGCAGGGCGGGAAGCCTGCCCCCTGGAGAACAGCGAGACGGGAAGTAGTGAATCGTGTTGGCACCCAGACACCCACCTGTGACCACTCCGAGGCCTCCCAGATGGACAGGCAGTCCTGACCCTCGCAGCTCTGGACAGTGGCCGGCCGGGGACCCTGGCAGTAGAGCGGCCGGGTGGGGACGTGAGTCCCGTTCTGTAGCTGGTACATGCAGGTCACCTGGCGGTGTTGGGTGCCCTTCTCACAGGGCGCTGAGCAGGGGCTCCACGGGCCTGCCGCCCACCTGCAGGGGTGACAGGGGCGGCTGTGAGGGGCTTCCCTGGCACTCCCTGACAGAGCTCAGCAGAGGCTGGGGCAGAGCCAGGGCTCAGTGGCCGGGCCTGGGCAAATATCCCCGCTTCCCCTTACTGCCGACGCTGTCCACACAGCGGTGAAGCTCCCGCAATTCACACCACTGACAAGGAACCTCGTAAGGGGAACTAAGAGCTTTTAGCCAAGCACGCACGCACTGTTAGTTTTTTAGTTTAGTTTTGTTTTCTTTCTTTTTGGGTCACACTCAGCGATGATCAGGGGTTCTTCCTGGCTCTGCACTCAGGAATTACTCCTGGTGGTGCTCAGGTGGACTATATGGGATGCCAGGGATTGAACCCAAGTCAACCACACATGCAAGGCAAACGCCCTGCCCGCTGTACTATCACACTAGCCCCACAGCACACATTGTTAAAAAAATAAAAATGGGGGCCGGACTGATAGTACAGCAGGTAGGGCATCTGCCTTGCATGCAGTTGACCTGGGTTCGATCCCCGGCATCCCATCTGGTCCCCCCAGCACCGCCAGGAGTAATTCCTGAGTGCAAAGCCAGGAGTAATCCCTGAGCATCGCTGGGTGTGACCCAAAAAGCAAACAAACAAAGCAAAAATCACCAAGTGTGGTCAGAGAGATCCTGCATGGCCACAGCGCGTGTGAGGTGCGGGGGGACCCCAGCTTACCCCACAGCACACTCCGGCAGCCCTGGTGGTCCCCGCAGGGCCCAAGTGACATGCCTCTGGACCTGAACACTGAACGCTGGCTTTTTGGCAGAGACTCACCACCAGGCTTCGCCTGAGCCCCACCCCACCCCACCCCACCCCACTCCCCGCTGAGCATCACTGACATGACTTTAAGCTGACCTGTCAGAGAACAATCTAGAAGTCCCCCCCCCCACCGCTACACTGATGGCAGACCACCCACCAGTCCGCCTCCTGCTGGGCTGGACCCCTCGCCGGCACGGGGTTCCCAGAAAACCAGAACACCCTCCACCTCAGCCTGACACGTCGGCTCCCTCTCAGCGCCGCTGGCTAATAAACCCACCAGCAGTTTCCTATAAAAAGGCACCGTGGGGGGAGGTCGCCATCCCTCCGGCCCGCCCAGCTTTTCCCTCCAGGGGAGTTCCAGCTTCTCTCCCCCGGACCGAAGGCAGATGCCGGCCAGATGTGCTTCAGGACTCGAGTCAGCTGAGTGCCCACTCTGTTGGGGCCTGGGCACCCAGCTGCTCGGCCTTGTTGGAGATAGACATAGGCGCCAAGCCCGGCGTCTGCGCTGTATGGAGGCCTGCGGGAGCTGAGAGGCAGCAATGAATCCTGCACCCAGTGACAGCCTGCCGACAATCCCCACCACCAGGGAGTGGGGGGGGGGGGAACCCCTGCCCGAGTGCTCCCGGGAGAGCTCAAAGAAGTCATTTGGTTTCTGGCATTGTCCACCAGAGGGGACACGTTCTCCTGTTTGCTTCTGAGACCCTGGCATAGGGTTCCCTAAACGCTGCGCTCGGAGTCACCCTTAAGGATCGCTGGCGTAGCCCCAAAACAAAACAAACAAACAAACAAAAATACCAAAAAAGGCCATTTTTGCAGGAACAAGCTTCTTGGTCTGGAACTGCAGAAGTTCCCTAAATACCCATTCCAAGAGGTTTCTGTCCCATACGCTTTTCTAGGGTCTTTTTTTGTTTGGTTTTTGTTTTTTTGGGCCACACCCGGCCATGATCAGAAGCAGCACACAGGGCCCAGAGGTCAGCCCAGCCCCACACACCGTGGGAACCCACACAACGACGTGGACACCTCTCTGACCTGAGACATGGTGGCTTGACAGTCCCCTAGCGGACACTATCCGGCAAGGCGGGGGGAAAGTCACACACTGCTTCCAGCCAGCAGAAATCACTTCTCCCCCATGGAGGGCCACCGCCTTCACAGTGGTAAGGCCTCAGGGGCATGTTGCTGTCCCTCGGGTCTTTCCTCTACTTCCCACCCAGCATGGTGGCCCCTGCCCCAAGGATTCAGGCATGGGATGGCGGGTCCTTACCGGGACTGGCAAGGGTGAGCGTTGCATCTTCGGACCTGGGGCTCAGGCCGGTTTGCCTGAGGACAGTCGCTGTTGTTGGCGGGCGTCGTGGTCTTGTTCACGACGCGCATGCAGGACACAATGGTTCTGCGCTCCCCTGAAAACAAAAGTGGCCAGAAGTGAGGGGCAAGGGCCACCGGAGCCCTTCCCACGGATGGCCAGAGGGACGTCCCTGCCATGTGAGAGGGCCGTGTGCAGGCCGTGAGTGGGCAGCATGGCCAGAGCAGGCGGTGCTCAGGGCTGGCTCCTGGCTCTGCACTCAGGTACCACTCCGGGGGGTGCTGGGAACCCCATGTGGGGGACACACGGGGATGGAGGCCCATCCCCCGTCCTGTGCTGGGCCCACGGACGATGGTGTCCAGGCTCCGGGAGGGGACTGTGGCGAGCATACAGCCAGTTCTCGATGGCCCCCTCCCCTGAGGACTGTGTCCCTCTCTCACCATGGCGCGACCATGGCCAGGAGGAAGAGGTGTTGGGGTGCAGACCCATCTTTGGGGCCGCGCTCCCCGGAGGTGGCGTCCTGCCCGAGAGGGTGTGAGGTCACTTGGCTCCTGCAGACTGGCAGAGTCTGGCAGTGATGTCTGACACGAGTGACCCCCTTCCCCCGCCCCGCCCAGCCCGTCCCCGGGCTCACCCCCTCCACACTGCACGCTGCAGCCTCCCCAGCCGCTGTGGGTCCAGAGGAACAAGGAGTCTGGGGGCTTCTCGGGCCCGCCCTGAGGGTCATCAGCCGTGGAGTTGACTGGAATGGTGTATTCGTAATGGATCCCGTAATTCTGATCGTGAAACAACAGCACCTGGATCCACAAACTCAATCAAAGTCTCCTCTGAGGTGGGGGGAGCCACGGGGGCGGGGCTGAGCGTGACGGGGGGCGGGGTTGGGCCCGACGGGGGCGGGGCTGATGAAGACAGGGCGGGGCTGGACCCGACAGGGGCAGGACTGAACCTGACAGCGCCCCCCTCCAATCTTCTCTTTGGGGTGACTGGCTCTTTTCTGGGGTCTAAACAGGTCGTACCTAGGGACACACCTTTATCTCCCCTTGGGACTCTCGGAGGCTCTGCTTGGTGAAGCACAAGAGGTCATCCCCACGTGGAGAGAAGGGGCAGGATTCGGGGACAAGCAGGTTTGTGCGTTTTGGGGGTGGCTGCCCCTTAGATCAGAGGAAGCACCTGCCATAGGCGATCTCTGTACTAGTAGCTTCCTACCTCAAGGGCGTGCTCTGAAAAGCAGCCCGCATCTCCCTCACCCATCAGCACCCGGTGGGGCAGGGTCGAGAGCATAGGGTGCCTGAGGGACACCTCCTGGGAGCCTGCCTGCCACCAACAGAGGCTGATGGTGGTAGAGTTCTGAAGAGCCACCCCCCCCCCCCCGCCCCGCCGAGACCCTGAGTGTGGAGTGGGGGCTATCCTGCAGCTGGGGACCCGAGGTCAGGAGCTCTGGAGGGTTGGGGGGTGTGGCCTGCGCCTCATTCAGTGACACCCAGGACAAGCCCTTCAGTGGAGATGGATTGTAGGCCTCAGAATCCGGCCCACTAACAGCTCCCTAGTGGAAGCTGCAAGGTCTTGCTGGGGGTGTCGGCGGCCCCAAGCTCAGCTTGGAACCCGCCTCAACCTGGGGCGAGCCAGGCAGGGTGCCAGAGGCCAGAGCAACCCAGTCCAGCCTCTCCCGGGGGTGGTACTAAAAGCATCCACTCCTCCAAGAAAGAAGCATCTGGAAAACTGACTACAGTTATTTTGTTTTCTTGGGGGGAGTAGGGGAGGGTGCTTTGTTTTTCAGCCCTTTAAATGAGATCTTTATTATCTCAGTATGGGAATGAGACTGGGGACCGAGGGTCCATATGAAACCAATTTCATGCCGATTTGCAGACACGTACAATATCTGTGTGTGCCGGGTGTGATTAACTCCAAGTGCAGGTCGCTGCGGCTCTCGGGTTCTCCTCACCTCGTGAGCCACAGGGAGACAGTTTGGGGACAACAGCTTTCTACGTGGAGCTGGAGCACCCTTTGCTTCTGGGGGATATGTCTGAGAGGAATGTGACCCGAGTGTGCTGGGGGGAGGTGCTCCGGGAATCGACAGGGGTGCCGCTGCCTCGCCTGGTGGGGCCTGAGTGAAACTCGGCAGAGTATCTGCTTCAAGGGGCTGTGGAGAGCACCAGGGAAAGACAAGACGCAGCTTATCTCAATGCTGGTGGAGAAAGTAAATTTACATGTTAACAGATCTGTTGCTACGTATGTGTGTGTGTGTGTGCGCACGCACGCACATGCACAAAAACTGAACCCAGGGCCTCTCACATGTGAGATGCAGGCTTTAGCACAGAGGCGCATCCCAAGTCCTCCCTGGAGAGGTTCTGAGGTTGACTTTTTTTTTCTTTTTGGGTCACACCTGGCGATGCACAGGGGTCACTCCTAGCTCTGCACTCAGGAATTATCCCTGGCGGTGCTCAGGGGACCAAATGGAATGCTGGGAATTGAACTCTGGTCGGCTGCGTGCAAGGCCAACGCCCTCCCCGCTGTGCTATCACTCCAGCCCCTGAGGTTGACTTTTGCTCTCACTTTTAGCTGCATGGAGATGTACCAGGAAGAAGGATAACCCCTCCTTGGGGGTCTCCACACACCAGGTACATCCCCCTCCTCCTCCCCTCGGCCCCAGGAACCAGCGCACCCCTTCCTTCCCCCACAGGGCCCTGGGAAGGAGCCCCAGAGCTGCAGCCCTGGGATGGGCACCTCACCATCAAGTGCAGCGGCGTCTCGGTGGGCCCCTTGGCAGAGATCTTCTCCCACAGGCCCCTCCTGACATAGCGGACGGTGGTGCCCGCAATCTGGAACTCGCCGGGCAGCGCGATCTTCCAGTCGCTGTTGATGGATCTCTTACTGGAGTCCCTGAGAGCTGGGGAGACACGCACCGGCTGGGCCTCGGCACGAGAGATCCCATGGGGTGGGCGGGTGGACCACCCGCATGGGGCGTCGAGGGTGGTCTGGCTTGCCAGGAGCTCTGCGCCCAGTCACAGTCCCCACATTGCCTTGCGGCTCTAAGGTGGCCTGGACAGCTGCCGGCTGGGCTGCTCTCACGGGGGGAGGGGGCTGACCACAATGTCTCTTAAGCATCTGCCCCCCTGGCTAAGAAGTGGGACGTTTATCCTAGCAACACGACGGACTCTCTGACACACTGGGGTCTGCGCCGCGCATGGACATAGCCTGGAAGTGGGGGAGGCCAGCATCCCCTCCCTGGACACTCGGCCCACCACGCTGCACCCAAAAGACTGGGTGAGGCCAGGGGTCAGTCCTGGCTGACTGGCCATCAAACAACTTTTGCTTTTCCCACCACCCACAGCTCATGACGGCTCAGGGTTCCTGGGCCTGGGGCCTGTGAGATTCTCCACTGTCTATTTCAGTGTGTTTTTGAGGAAAGAAAACCAGCGGGGACCAGGAGCTGGCTCAGGGCTCATGGCATCTGCTTGAGATGCGAAAGGATTCAAGTCCCATCCCCGGCCCAGCGCAGCCTCAGACACTGCCTGGAAGGCCCTCGAGGCCCCCCCTGAGCACAGCCTGGGAGACTCCCAGGTTGGGAGTCATACCCCTTGGGGCCAGAGTGATAGTACAGCATGTCTGCAATTGCACATGGCTGACCAGAGTTTAACTGCCAACATCCCACAGGGTCCCCTGATTACTGTCAGGTGTGATTCCTGAGCAGAGCCAGGAGTAAGACCTAAGCATCGTCGATGTGGTCCCCTCCAGCCCCCCAGTGCCCCAAAAGGTGTCATTCCTTCTGTTCAGTGACAGAGCATCTGCTCCAAACAGCACCACCCAGCAGGGGCTTCTGGGAGGGTAATAGGGCTGACCTCACGCTAGACCAGCTCTAGGCCCAAGCCCAGGAATCATCGCTGGCCTGTGAGAGGCCTTCTGGGCAACCTAGAATAAAGAGTTGCCCTCTTCCCTGTTGCCTGGAGATCTAACGCAAACCCAGCTTTGCCCACGGGTGACAAATGGCCGCAAAGCTCCTGGATCAAGTCTTTCCCAGGATGTCAGCTTCGGCTCCTGGATCCAGCCACGCCTGAAGCTCATGCCCAGCCACTGAGAAATGGATGTGGGTTTCACATGTGCCTGCCAGTGGCTTGCAGTGGCTTGCAGTGGCTTGCAGTGGCTTTTTTATTTTTTTCTTTTTAATTATGAAGCATGGGGCTGGAGACAGAGCTTCAGAGAGCTGGAGCACAGGCTTTTTCTCCCAGCAGGAATGCTCCCCCCAGCACCACTGGGTGTGGTCCCCCAAACCAAGATGATGATGATGATGTGGAGCCCACTTTAAACCTCCTCACATTTGCAGATTACCTTGTGCGCGAGGGTTCCAAGGTGCCAGTCACTACGTTCCGTGCTGAGATATTGGGAGTTTCCCAGGGAACCTGAAGCGTAGGGCCCAGCACCTGATTCCAAGAGCCTGTGGCCCTAGCATCTGTGGGGACATCCAGCAACTCGGCAGCCAAGACCAGGACGGATAGTGCAGTGCACAATGAGAAAATGGGCCCAGGAAGCACCGGAAGCAGAGGGAGGCCATCCATGTAGGAGTACTCAGAGAGCAGGGGGGTGAGTGCCATGGGGCGGAAGTCCTGGGCACCTCCCATGCACGAGAACTTTCCATGGTCCTGCTCAGAATGCTGGACAGCTGCCCCCAAACCACCTGTCTGGACCTCCCAAATCCACATCCGCAGTGATTTTCTCGAGAGTAGGGTGGACCCAGCACAGCCCTGCTGTGGATTCTCCTCTTACCATTGTTTCACTTGCCTGGATGGATCCTCACAGCAGTCAGACAAGCGCCCTCCCACCAAGACCCCTGCCAGGCTGGTAGTCTCCTCATCACTGCCTCCTGCCCTCCGGCTGGCTGTCTTATAAGAAGACAGTATTGCATGCACACCATACAACACGTATGTTCAATACATACCACATGCAATACGCATGCTTACAGAGAGCTCGTGTTATTGGTCAAATACTGGCTGTCGCAGGCCCACTGGGAGACATCAAAAGGTGGGCAGGAATGTTGGTACCATGCAGAGCTTCCCCAGACTCTACAGGGAGCTAGGGTTAGTTATTCCTTCCCAACTTACTGAGGACGGTACCACCTCAGGCCCCACGAACAGAAGCACACAGGCTCTTTGTCTATAAGCATTTTGAGATTCATTTGAAACAAGAATTTGGGATGGGGGTGTTGTTTTTTGGGTCGCACCCAGCGATGCTCAGGATTTACTGCTGGATTTGCACTCAGGAATCACTCCTGGTGGTGCTCGGGTGACCCTATGGGATGCCGGGTATTGAACCCAGGTCACCCGATGCAAGGCAAATGCCCCTTCCCCCACCCCTGCCGCTGTAGCAGGAGCCAATCAGATGGTGGTGCCTGCTCTGAGGTGAGTAAGAGCCAAGAGCAGAGTGGCTCGGTCTGACCCCACCGGCTCAGGTCTTTCCTACCTTGGTCACTTCTGCCTGGCTCAAAGCCCAGAGATTCACACCAGACTCTGAAATCCGAATTTCCTTTTGTGCATTTTGCTGGAGGCTTTGGACGCCTCTTTTGGTTTGTGTTTCTGGGTCATGCCCAGCAGTGCTCAGGGCTAACTCCTGTCTCTGTGCCAAGGATCACTCCTAGAGGGGCTCGAGGGATGCTATGGAATGCCAGGATTGAACCCGGGCGAACTGCATGCAAGGCAAATGCCCTCCCTGTTGTCCTATTGCTCTGGCCCCTTTAGATGCCTCGTGAGCACTCAGGGCGAGTTCTCTGGGGCTGAGGTCACTGAGTATTGTCCATTTCCATCCCCAGCGCTTCTCTCTTCCCAGATGTCTGGACAAGACCCCCCCACCCCACTCTTGAACACGTGGATGCTGGGTAGAAGGTGGGTTCACACCCATAAACCCAGGACAGGGGTTTCTGCGTGCTGGGCCTGGATCCTGGTCAAAGCTGGGGGGGTGCGCGGGGGGCACGACCCAGTCCAGCAACTGGGAAAGCAGATTCAGGCTTCTCAGTCTTGGCTCTGCAGGAAGAACACAGCCCACAGGGAACCCACTCCTGGCACAGAGCTGGCACCTTCTCTCCAAGGGGGCCCTGCCAGCTACACCTCAGCCCAGGCTGACAACGGCAGAGGCATCCCCTATGGCAGGGGCTCTGGGGCAGAAAGCCAGGCCGCATGGGCTGAAGGCAGGTGGGGGAGATTCTTCAGGAACCGCTCCCAGCAGACGGGAGAGCGAGCACGGCTGGGTGGGCTCCGGGGACCACAGGGCTTGTCAGAAGGAAGCCTGGTTGCCCCAGTAGTAAGGGGCGGCATCCTGTGAGCCATGGTGCATGGCTGCTGGGCGGAACGCTTCTCGTGGCTGGTCTGTATGCTTCGGCCATGAGGGCTCTGTCCCACGCTGCCAGGAGTGATCCCCGAAACAAAGGAAGCCAGGCTGAGAGTGGCCTCAGATGGGCAGAGGGACACGGCTCCATCTCCCAGGGAGCCCCTGGCCACCAGGTCAGGGGAGTGGGACGCGGCTGCGCAGGCATGCATCCGGCTGGGTCCGCAGGATCCAGGAGCTGGTGCAGACCAGGGCTAAGCACACAGCTCTGCTCTCCAGAACCCTGCTGAGCTCTCCACCCCTGGCTATGCCAGAGAGATTCTGAAGAGGCCACAACCTGCAGGCCCGGAAGTGGCTGCCAGCCACTGAACCCGCCCCCAGCCCTGTCCTTGGCAAACAAGAAGCACTTGGTGGGACCCAATGTTCCTACCAGCAAAGCATGCCCTCTCTCAATGTTTCTCCACCTATATATGTATATGTATATGTATACACACACACATATATTTTTTTTTTTGAATGGGAGAGGGTTTGGGTCATACCCAGCAGTGCGTAGCACTCATTTATTTATTTTGCTTTTTGGGTCATACCCAGCGATGCTCAGGGGTGATTCCTGGCTCTGCACTCAGGAATTACTCCTGGTGGTGCTTGGGAGACCATATGGGATGCTGGGGATCGAACCCAGGTCAGCTGCGTGCAAGGCAAACGCCCTACCTGCTGTGCTATTGCTCCAGTCTGCGCAGTGCTCACTCTTGAGTGCTCAGGGGACGCTTTGGGATGCCAGGGATGAAACTAGGGTCAGCCATGTCCATGGCAAGTGCCCTCCACACTGTCCCATCACTCTGGTCCCAAGAGTTCAATATGTTTGTGATACCTACAAAGGCATGAATGTGGCCAAGGATAATAGAGTATTCAATGAATCAGGGATCAATGCTGAAATAAAAGCAGTTGTGGGTGACATTCTGGGGGTGCTTCTGCCGGAACGATGCGGCCGCAGCCTGGAGGCCTGGTGGAGCCCTCAGTGACTGAGAGACTTCCTGCAGCCCAGGCCTCCAGATGGGACCCGTGAAGTCACAGGTTGGGGGGAGTCACCCCCAAACACCCGGGGAGTTTGAAATCACCCTGAGACAGGTACCTGGAGCAGGCCTGGGGCCAGGAGCTGGTAGAGCCTGTCGGTTCCAGGGGGCAGAGCACAGAGCTAGCCCTGACAAAGAACTTGGAGATGCTACTCCCACCCCCAGCCCCCCTGGCACTGCAGGCACCCACAGGAGGCTGGAGTGCATTGGGAGAGGGTCGAGAATGTCTTCTCTGCCAAGATGAGCACAGTGATCATGGGGCACCAGGCAGGAGTGGGACCTTCTCTGCAAAGCTGGGGATGATTATGTCGGGGGTGATGAGCCTCGGGGAGTTGGGTACCGCACTCAGGGAACACGGGGTCCTTTAGCGTTTCTGTTAGTTTCTTTTTTCATTGTTTTTTGTTGGTTTTGGACCACATCTGACAATGCTTAGGGTATTACTCTTGGCTCTACACTCTTGACTCAGGGATCACTCCTGGCAGTGCTCGGGGAACCCTAGCACTGGGATGCTGGGGATCGAACCCATGTTAGCTGTGTGCAAGGCAAATACACCCCCTGCTATCCTATTGCTTGGGTACCAAAGTTGATTTCTTTCCTTCTCCAAGGAATTATCCACAGACAGCACACCTGGGCCAATTGGAAGCTGGGTGGTTCAGGAGCTTTCCTGGGGCTCCGTGGCTCAGTCGGGGTTGGGATGGACTTAAGCCTCCTCCCTCTTCCTCATCTTGCCATCCACACCTGAAGGTTCAGCACCTTGGAGTGAGGCCCCCTGTACCAAGCCAGCAGCACCGCTTACTGGGTCACACAGAATCACCTGGAACCTGAGTGCCCAGGATGGGGCACTAAGCCCTGCACCAAACCCATGGCTCCACCCTGTTCCTGGAACAAAAGTGGGTGGAGCTGGTCGCTGGGGGGGGGGGGGGAGGGGCGGGGGGGGCTTACCCAGAAAGCTGTGGGCTGGCTTGTCCTCCACCACACGGATTCTCCGAGCTCCGGCAGGGATGACGGCAGCCTCGATGTAACCTGGAGAAGTGGGATGACATGAGGTGGGCCCATCTGGGGTGCTTGGGATCGAGTGCCTGGACTCCCCCCGCCCATGGATGCAGCCTATTCCCTCCATCCTGGGACCAAGAGGCTGGAGAGAACCAGTTGGAGGCCTGAGCTGAGAGCCCCGCCACCTCCCACCATCCGGGCCCTCGCCCCCAGATCCTGGAATCAGCCCTCTGCAGACCGATGCTGCTAGCTCAGACCCAGAGGAGGAGGGCGGGGCCCCAGGCAGTGAGAGAGCGGGGTACACGGCACTTGGTGAAATCCAGGAAACCAGACTCAGAGCTGGAGATGACACAGACACGGGGCCACAGGAGAAAGCCACCAAGCCCCCATGGCAAGGCCCGCTGGGGTCTTCAGAAGGGACCAAGCCCGCTCCTAGCTGGACGCCAGAACCATGTGACACCACCACCCAGCCCAGAGAGACACACACCTCCAGAAACAGGGGCTTCCTGCCTCTTGGGGGCACTTTCGAGGCACTGTGCTGGGGCAGCACCCCCAGTCCCCCATCATCTCTGGATGATAACAGATGCTAAGCCACGTGCTGAACGCAGTTTCCACTCTGCAGTCCGCCTACTCTCTGGTCCTGTCCCTGCATCAGCCCGAGCCTTCTCTTGGCGCCAGAACAGCTGAGGATGGGACCGGCTGACCCGTTCGTCGGCCCAAATGATGTCTGAGCACTCGCATCACACAGGAGCCTACCCTGCAGCAAGGCTCTGAAGAGCAGGCTGGCAGTAGAATTGTTTCGATTTGTTCTCGAGTGGGTATTAGACCAGAATCGTCTGAATCGGCCTCGGCCACGGAGACGACCTTGTCAAATTTTAAGAGGTGTCATGCCCCAGGGGCTCCCAAGTATAATCATCAGAATCAGCAGGAAGCTGGAACAAACTTGGAGATTTTGGGCCCAACTATGGTGCAATTTTGGGGGAAGATTTATTTTGAGAGATTTAGCTCTTGTTTTCTCACAGTAAAAAAAAGAAGTTTTATTTTTATTATAAAAGTAGTCCAGAATAATTAAAAAAACATGGGAGAGAGTCAATGGACTCCCTTCTACTTGAAGGCACGGATCCTACGGAAAGTAGATTCTGATGCCTGTCATCTCCACATCTCTTAAAACACACACACACACACACACACACACACACACACACACACACACACACCCTGTTCATATGAATAAGGCAATGCCCATGCTCTTAGAATGCCAGGGATGACTTTGCAGTAATCAGGTCTGGCAGTGTGTGCCCAAGGTACAGAACTAGTTCTTAAGCGGTATAGGAGAGTGCATGCCAATCTTCAAATACATGCCCAGTGCTGGAGCGGCAGTTTAGGGATTAGGACACTTGCCTTGCATGCAGCTGACACACAGGGTCCCCTGAGCACGCCGGGCATGGCCCAAGGCTCCCCCCTACCCATGCCTCAGTATAAGATCTACCTGAAGCACTGCTCCTGACACCCTTATTATTGACGACTTGTGTATCCCAGGTGGGGTCGGCACAGCTAACTGAAGTCGGCTGGTAAAGTTTGACTTCTTCCACTCTTATCTTGCTTGTTTTTTTTGTTTTGTTTTGTTATGTTTTGTTTTTTTTGCTTTTTGGGTCACACCCGGCAATGCGCAGGGGTTACTTAACTTAAGTAACTCCTGGCTCATGCACTCAGGAATTACCCCTGGAGGTGCCTGGAGGACCATATGGGATGCTGGGAATCGAACCCGGGTCGGCCGCATACAAGGCAAATGCCCTACCTGCTGTGCTATCACTCCAGCCCCCTTGTTTTTTTTTTTTCTTTTTGGGTCACACCCAGCAATGCTCAGGGGTTACTCCTGGCTCTGCACTCAGGAATTACTCCTGGCAGTGCTTGGGGGACCATATGGGATGCTGGGAATCGAACCCAGGATGGACGCATGCAAGGCAAACGCCCTACCCGCTGTGCTATTGCTCCAGCCCAGCCCCCTTGTTTTTAAATTAAAAATTTTTTTTCTTTTTGGGTCATACCCAGCGATGCTCAGGGGTTATTCCTAGCTCTTCACTCAGGAATCACTCCCGGAGGTGCTCGGGGACCTTATGGGATGCCGAGATTGACCCAGCTTGGCCCTGTGTCAGGCAAGCACTCTCCCCACTGTCCTGTTGCTTGTTTCTTTGATCACTGATGCAGAACATAATGATTCTGTGTGACTCGCAAGACCATGTTGCCCAAAATCTGGCAATGTAGTATATCCACCCCACCGCTCTTCCTCATTTTGTTTGCTTTGGGGTCACGCCTGGATAATGTTCTACTGAGGGTCCCAACTGGGCTGCACAGGGCATCTAGGCCTTCGAACTTTCCCCAGCCCACACTCTTGTCTTCTGGTGACGTTTTACCCACCACAAAGATTCCAGCTGAAAATGATGTTTGTGTGGGGCCGGAACAATAGCACAGTGGGAGAGCGTTTGCCTTGCATGTGGCTGAACAGGGTTCAATCCCCGGCGACCCATAGGATTCCCCAAGCACCGCCAGGAGTGATTTCAGAGTGCACAGCCAAAGTCAGCCCTGAGCACTGCCGGGTGTGACCGAAAAATAAACAAGACAAGAACATCCAAATCGGAAAGAAAACTAACCCAAAATGATCTCTAAATGCAAATACCACAATCTAACATATGAAAGAATCCTGTTTGATTCCTATTAGATTTTAGCCACTAAAACCCCCTCAGAATACGCTATGTGCTTGCATGATCAGTACAGAAAAGTCACTTTATATGCTGGGCTCAACAGTCTGAAATGAAATCAAGGCAGCAATCCACCTTAAAGAGATCAAAAAGAAGGGCTGTAGCATTTTACAGAGGGGAGGGCACTGGCCTTGCAACTGGCAGACCCAGCTTCGACCCCCAGCACCCCATAGGGTCCCCCGAGCCCACCAGGAGTGATCCCTGAGCACAGAGCCAGGAGTCAGCCCTGAGCACCATGGGGTGTGGCACAAAAACAAACCAAAAAAAGAAATTCTCTTTCAATTTTGTTTTTGGAGAAACACCCGGCAGTGCTGGAAGGCAGGGAGGGAACACATGGCAGGGTGTCACGCATCCTGGCCGCCTCTCCATGAACACGGCTGCTGAACCACGTGTGTGCAGTTCCAGGGTGACAGGCAGTGAGGTCACCCTACAAGAAGCAGGCGCAAGAACCGACCCTCCACGGGACCCCAGCGGATCCCGCACGGTTGGAGTGGTGGGACAGTGGGGAGGGAACTTGTCTTGCATGCAGCTGACCCGGGATCTATCCCCGGCATCCCCAAGTCCCGTTGGGAATGATCCCTGGACATGCAGCCAGGGGAAAGCCCCAAGAACCACAAGGTGTACCCCAACAACAAAAATCTCAAACAGAAATGTCCTGTGCTAACCGATTCCTTCTCCTCAGGTCTCTCAGCACCCAGCACCTGACACATGCTGGACACTCCCCGGAATTCACGGCACTTAAATGCCCCCTTTACAAGAATCAACTCCACCCGGACTTTACTTTTCATGTAAGCGAGATGCAGGAATTCTGCAGATACTTTAACATCTGTTAATATCTACTTACTACAGCTCACTCTTACTGGACTTGACACTGACTTACTTTTTTCTTTTCTATCCTTTTCTTTCTTATTCTTTTTTAAGTCGCTTTCTGGTTCTGTTTTTAGGGTGGGTTTAATTTGAAAGCCAATTTTTCATTTTGAGTGTGTGGGGATTTGGGTTGTCTCTTTTTGTGACCCTTTGTCCTTTTGCTTTTCTGCCACACAGGCCCACTCCCAGTGGTATCCATGGGGTGAAACAATGCTGGGGATCAAACCTGGGGCTTCTATGAGCAGTGCTCCTTCTCCAGCTCTCTGAGCTCACCCCAAACCCCTCCAAGTCATTTCATGCCAGGGATAGTCTAGATCCTTTGAAGTTTGAGCTTCGACTGAGCGCTTTTCTTTGTTTTGTGGGCACACCCAGCAATGCTCAGGGGACCATATGGGATGCTGGGGATTGAACCCAGGTTGACTATGTGCGAGGCAAACCCCTTCCCACTGGACCATTGCTCCACCCATCCCCCTTCTTTGAGGGGATCTGAACCAATCAGGAGTGAGCAGAGGGAACAGGACAGGAAGGTCTTTGGGAGCTCAGCTGTGCCACCCTGACTGCCCTTCCAGGGCCTGAGGAGGCCCCAGGCTGCCAGGGGATGGGGGGAGGGGCGCACCTACACTTACCTGTGCCCCGAGGGTGTCGAAAGTGGCCCTTGACCACGCGGCAGAGCCCGCCGTCCCCGTCACACACCCCACACCGGTCCTCCTTGGCCGCAGACCCGATGATGCCATCACAGCCTATTTTCTAGGTGAGTAGAGGGCAGGTTACTGGGAGGGAAGGACAGGGAGTAGCCCAGGACAGCCCTTGGTCATGTTGCGGGGCCTCGCCTGCCTGCCCAACCTCGGGGCTCCCAGGGCTCTGCACTCCCTCCTGGTGGGGCCAAGTGCGAGGGAGGGGGGTGAGTCAAGCGCATCCTTGCTGTGTCTCTCGGGCCTGCCTCTGGGGGAGCAGAGCCAGGCACGGCTGAGGCGACTGGAGCCCAGGTCAAGGCTCGGGGTGCGGGGGGGGGGGGGGCGCGGGGCGTGTGGTCACTCTCAGCAAACTAGCATTGGGCCCAGGGCTCTGTCACCCAGGAAGAGGCCCCCGGAACGTGGCTTCCTTGCTTCTAGACCCCAGTGGGAGAAGTGCCCATGAGAGGGCCCCTGATTTGTCAGGACTGGCCAGGAGGATGACCAATGTCTGTGCCTTGCCCCCATCCCACCGCTCCCACGTTCATGGGTGGCATCAAGTTCCTTGCCTGCTGAGGATTCCTTGCAATGAGGTCTCCACATCTGCAAGTGGCATGAGGTGGCCTGCTCCTCGGCACCCCACAATGCCAACTCTGACCAACTCACAATGCCGCGGGGGCCCGTGGGGTCCACGCCGACCCCTACCAGCTCGTGTCTGTGCTCCCCAGAAGCCCTCAGAGGCAAACGGTGAAACTGAGGGCAACAGGGGGCCTGGCTAGGAGGCAAGTGGGGGACCCTCGGCCTCATCTGCCCGCACCAGCACATCTTTCTCTGTCTCTCTCCCCCCCACCTTCCCCATGAGGAGGTACCTGGAAACCCGAGCCAGCTTTCTGCGACCGTCCCCACAGTCCCCTGCCCTGTGGTCACCCCCACGGCCCCCCTGCTCCTGCTTTTTCTTTGCCTTCTATATCCACTAGTACTGCAGGGAGAGGGCTGAGGCTCGACAGTGTTGCTTCCCTCTGAAATAGCTGGTCAGTGGGGAAACAGCTGGTGCCACTGTAACCCCATCTGGCAAGCAGGGTGTGTTCTCAGGGACTGATGTTCAGGAGGCACTTCTAGACAGTGTTATCACAATTGGCTAGGTTGGGGTGTCCTGCTGCCAGACCAGGTGGACTGCTTGGAGAAGGCGGCTCAGAAGTGCATTTGCACAGCATCGCTGCAGGGTGAGGCTCACAGGCATCACCCAAGAGGTCATTGTCTGCCACTCGCTTCCAGTGTCCCTGTCTGTAGGGCTGCATGTGCTGAGCACCGGCCATGGAGGTCAATGATGGCGGTGACAGCTGAGATGGAGCCTCGGAGCGTCTGGCCCAGGGAGGCAGGGGTCAGTCTCTTCGGCCGTGCAGAGCAGGGCGGAAAGGATGTGGTTGCCATACTGGAGACTTCTAACCAAGGTTAAGGAGGGAGACAAGGACACAGGCCCTGAGCTGAGGCCTTTGGGCATGTGCCCTGTGCCAAGCATGACGTATTCTCAGCTGAGCCTCAGGCAAAGGCCAGGCGCCTGGTAGAAGAGGCTGCTGAGTGGGCAGAGCAGGCATAGGGAGACGCCTGACAGGGCATGCAGTGTATGAGGGGGAAGCTACGGTGTGGAGGAGCAGCTTGTTCCTTGTCTGTGTTCCTGCCCTCTCGGGCATCTTAAATGACATTCTGGAGGCTGCTGGGGAGTGAAACATCCAGCTCCAGAGGGGTGTGGAGACCAGTGGGAGTGGGGGGACACATGTCTCCCAACCCCCAGCTTTGTGCACGTTGGGGCGATAAAGCAGAGCTGGTCCTCCCTTCCCAGCCGTGGATAGCGGTGTCATCCTTTACTGCCCTGGCTCACCCAGTCAGGATGGCAAATGCCGCAGATGTCTGCCTTGGGCCTATCCTGGCTGGCACCTCTCGGGCGAGGCAGCGAGGGGACACGTGGAGCCAGATGGCAGAGGCACCAGCCCTGCTTTCTCAAGAAAACTCGCTCCCCAGCCCCCCGAGGCCGCCCCCTCGCAGCCCAGAACCCAGGGGACCAGCACCTGGCAGCGGCCGTGCACGCAGAGGTCGGTCTCGTAGGGGCCGCACGGTGTCCCGTCCAGGACGCGCTCGGCCACCAGCACAGGCGCCTCCTTGCCCAGCGGAGAGCAGTAGAGTGCGCAGGGCTTCTCTGAGGGGGGAGGACACGGCTGAGCAAAGACACCGGGGAAGGGAGGCGCGGGGGTCCTGGGGCACTGGGCCTGCAGGGTTGTGAGTGGGGATGTGAGGGGGATGTGGGGGGGGGAATGTGAGGGGATGTGAGGGGGATGTGAGTGGGCCTGTGAGTGGGGATATGAGGGGGATGCGAAGGGGGATTTGAGGGGATGTGAGGAGATATGAAGGGGGGATGTGAGGGGGATGTGAGGAGGGATGTGAAGGGAATGTGAGGGGTTATGTGAGGGGGATGTGAGTGGGGATGAGGGGGATGTGAGGGGAGATGTGAGGGGGGATATGAGAGGGGATATGAGGGGGGATGTGAGGGGTTATTTGAGGGGAATGTGAGGGGTTCTTTGTGGGGGATGTGAGGGGTTGTGAGAGTGGATGTGAAGGGGATATGAGGGGGATGTGAAGGGGATGTGAGGGGGACGTGAGGGGGGATGTGAGGGGGGATGTGAGAGGGGATGTGAGGGGGATGTGAGGGGAGATGTGAGGGGTTATGTGAGGGGGGATATGAGAGGGCATGTGGGGGTTATGTGAGGGGGGTATGAGAGGCATGTGAGGGGTTATGTGAGGGGGATGTGAGGGGAGATGTGAGGGAGGATGTGAGAGGGGATGTGAGGGGGGATGTGAGGGGGGATGTGAGGGGTTATTTGAGGGGAATGTGAGGGGTTCTGTGTGGGGGATGTGAGGTGTTGTGAGAGGGGATGTGAGGGGGATGTGAGGGGGATGTGAGGGGGATGTGAGGGGGGATGTGCAGGGGATGTGAGGGGGATGTGAGGGGGGATGTGAGGGGGATGTGAGGGGGATGTGAGGGGGGGATGTGAGGGGGGATGTGAGAGGGGATGTGAGGGGGGATGTGAGGGGTTATGTGAGGGGGGATATGAGAGGGCATGTGAGGGGTTATGTGAGGGGGATTTGAGGGGGGATGTGAGGGGAATGTGAGTGGGGATGTGAGGGGGATGTGAGAGAGCATGTGAGGGGGATGTGAGGGGGGATGTAAGGGGGGATGTGAGGGGGATGTGAGGGGGATGTGAGGGGTTATGTGAGGGGGATGTGAGAGGGACTAAGGGGGATGTGAGGGGGAAGGTGAGGGGGATGTGAGGCGGATGTATATGGGGATTCTGTGGGGCTGTGAGTGGGATGAGTGGAGATATGAGTGAGTCCATGAGTGAGGATATGAGCCCCCACTGATGAGGGACTGCTTCCCGCCTGGCCCCTGGCCATGCCCAGCTGCAGCCCCCATGCTCACTTCCTGATACAAACTGCTCATTCTTCTCCTTGTCCTTCACCCTGTGAGTGGGCATGTGGCCTCCCTCACTGTTGAGCTGATGCTGACCCAGATTAGGTGGGACTGGGGGGTACTCACACCCTGACACTGAGTTTCCTGTTCATGGACATGGACATTCCCCCTTACTTCTCTCCTGTGCTCATTTAGCTCTGCCATTCTCCTCCCATCAACCGTGTATTTTGTCAGATTCAGACCTCTGTTCCTCTGGGGGAGCAGACGTGAGGGGTGCTGGTGGTTCAGAACTGAGGGAGGTTCTGCCTCACTGGGAAGGTGCTAGAAAGGTCCTACCATGTGCAGTCATGACCTCTGCTGTGACACTCTGACCCCTGGGGGGTTGCATGGCCTGCAGGGCTGAGGGGCAAGCCTGACTCGGGTCTTGCCTTGCACATGCTGTCGAGGGAGGCATGGCTGTGTCCCAGAGGCCTCTATCGGAAATTCTACCTTGGCAAGAATCCCTGCCAAATTTCTTTCCTTTTTCTCTTTTTGCAAAGAAAAAAAAAATAGGGGGAGGAGGAAAAAGCCTCTAGCGCTCCCGGTCAGGAATGCAGAAGCGTTCCTTGGCGACAGCAGAGCAGCAGACAGGGCAGCCCAGGGCGACCACAGGAATGGCCAAGCTCAGACTCTGCCTCAGGGCACAGCGGGGTGAGGGGGGTGGGGGCTCCCATCCCCTCCTTCACACTCTGAGGGGCAGAAGAACCCGACCTGTGATGTCAGGGTGGGGCAAACGCTGGGCGGGCCTTTCATTCCAAGGCAGGTCACTCGGGGGGCCCAGCCTGTCCTCAAGGACGGTGGCACTTTGCCATCGGGGCAGTGGCACACAACTCGGGTAGAAAGAGTGTGGTGCAGCTGGCAGAGACCAGCTTGGGGCCGGGCCCACCTCCTCCACAGCCGCTGGGATGATAAGGGAACCTCAGACTGCACCGCCCCAAATGGGTCAGGACGCAAATAACATGTTTCACGTGGACTTGGAGACATGGGTGGAAAAGAAAAACAAACCAACCAGACCAGACCTTTCCGTGGGGTTTCTGCCCTCGCGCTCACACAGCTACACATACATGCGGGTGGGGGGGGCGGGCAGGGGCTCTGTGCCGGAGGCTTGGGGCTGCTGTGCTCAGGCTGCCCTTGTGGCAGTATTCAGGGGGCCGCAGGGTATCTGTGGGGGGTGGGCTGTGTGCAAGGCAAGTGCTGTAAGCTCATGTCATCTCTTCCGCCCTGTTTTACTGAAAATGTTTCTTTTGATTGTGGGGGGAGGGGAAAGAGGTCCAGTAAGGCTCTAGGGCTGTGGGCTCTGCAGGCTTCCGGCTCCCCATGGACCGACCCTGGGACCCCCAACCTCAGGGCGAGGCTGCGAAGGTGGGGGAGGCCAGCACACGCACTGGGGCTGCGAAGGGGGTACAGGAGGAGTCTGCCTGCTCCCCACGCTCGGGGTGGGGCAGGCGGGGTCTGCAGGGCAGGGAGGAGGGGCCCCGCTCACCGTCCACCACCACGGCGGTCAGGAGGCTCGTGGTGCTGCCGCCCAGCCGGTCCTGCGTCTGGCACTGCTGGTCCCGGAAGCTGGGCAGGCCGGGTGGGCAGGGTGGGCGCTCACAGACCCCGTGCTGCACGCTGGCACCCCGGCAGGGCAGGCCTCGGGGCCCCGGGCTGGCGGGAAAGGAAGGGTTAGCATTAACCGGCCACAGTGAAAGCCAGCGTCCCCACACACCATGATGAGCACCAGCATGCTGGACACTCTCGGGAGACAGGACCCCTGGGGGTCTGACGAGGTGGGTGGGAGGGCCCAGCTGCCTCAGGGACCCCCAGTCTGAGTGGGGTTGTCTTCCTGCGGCCTCAGAGTGGGGGCTGTTGGGGCCTCCCCCACCCCTGCGTGTCTCTGCGTGTCCCTTCCCGGCTTCTAGTAATCACGTGAGGTGAGCGCTGAGCCACACGACCCCCACTCCCACGGGGGGACACAGGCCCTGAGCACACTGGGGAGTCCCCCTGGTTTGGTCTGTAGCTGTTGTTTGCTGCATCCAATCATAAGCTACGAGCTTAACATCTCTTTGTCTGCCTGATGCTGACTTTACTTGTGTTTGTTAAGGGGCCATAGCTGAGAGGTGCTCAGAGGTTACTCCTGGCTCTGCACTCAAGGGTCACTGCTGGCAGGGCTCGGGGGACCCTGGATTGAGCCTGGGTTGGCCGTGTGCAGGGCCAGTGCCCTGCCCGCTGAGGGGTTGGCTCACAGTACCATCAGCTCAGCTTCTCTGCCTTGGGTGATGGCACATCAGCCAACACACTGCAGCACCAATGAAAGGCCCACCCTGAGGGCGCCCGGGGCCTGTCCTTGCTGGGCCTCAGGCTGGGGAACATGGCTGTGGGCCGGACAGACAGCAGAGCGCTTACAGGGGACATGTGAGTGGGATGAGACAGTGGGAACTGGGGAGAGAAGGAGGAAGACCAGGGGGTGATGAACTGCAGAAGGAGCCCCGGGCTCCGGGAAGGGAAAGAAAAGGCAAACCGAGTCGGGGTCATCCCAGGAAGCACTGAAGGAAAAAAAAAAATGTCCCCAAGGGATTTCCTGGCTGAGGTCTTGGTGGCCGGCAGAGCACAGGCGGTCTCGAACTAAGCCGGCCAGTGGGGCAGGCCGGGGGTGCCCAGTGGTCTCGGGAAGAAGAAGCCAGCCAGGGGCCTGGGGCCACGGGGACTCGGTGCCGGCACCACTGCAGGGGGCAGCCCTGGGGCCCACCCCTGGGATTTTTGAGTATCCCCAGACACGGGACGGTGGAATCCGCGCCCACCGGGGACCCGGGCACTTACGGGGGGTTGTCGCATTTCCGCTGCCGGAAGCGTGCGCCTGTGCCACACGTGCGGCTGCACATGCTCCAGGCGCCCCATGGGCTCCAGTCTCCATCCACGTGGTCGGGGATGGGCGCCTTGCTCACGCACGCGCCCGCGCGGCACCACTACAAGAAGAGCCACGCCGCTGCAGGGCCACGCAGCCCCGGGCCCTGCACCCTCACCCCCACCCCCTGCAGGGCACCCCACACCCCTGCTGGGCACCCCGCACCCCTGCAGGGCCACCCCCAACTCCCTGTAGGATACCCTGCACCCCTGCAGGTCCACACCTCACCTCCTGCAGGGCACCCCGCACCCCTGCAGGGCCAGATGACAGCTGGGGTGTCAGGGACCCTCGCCAGCTGGCACAGGCCCCAAGTCTGCAGGTGGCACAGTGGCGTCATATCAGCAGGTCTGACCATAAGGCTGTCCTGCCCCCTCTCCCCCTGCTGGCTTGAGCTGTGCAGGGCAGCCCCTGGGAGATGCCCCTTCCCCATCCAACAGAATGCCACCAGATCACCTGGGGTTGTTTGGGGAGGTGTGGGGGCTTTGAGGCCACAGCAGGCTCACTCCTGGCTCTGTGCTCTCAGGATCAGGAACCCGGGTCAGCTGCGTGCAAGGCCGGCGCCCTCCCCGTGCACCATCTCACTTCCCTTCCAGCCACCTCACAGGGCTGCATGCCTGCTCTGCCACCGGGGTCAGCAGCTGGTTCTGGGGGTGCGGGGCTGTCTGAGGGGTTCTTCTGTGCTCCCTCAGCATCACGCCTCTATACTGCTTGGAGTCGGGTGGGGAGGGGCGGCGGCTGGAGTTTCATCCCGAACCTTTGGGTGAAACGTACTCGGGGAGGAGGTATAGACCCCCAGAAGAATGAATCCTGGGGAACAAAGAGTCTGAGCCGCGGCTCCCTTTGCTTCGAGTCTCTCGTTGGGGAGCAAAAGACGAGAGCAGAATCATTTCCCCCAGGTCCCCCAAGGTGGCAGGATGGGGTCCACCCAATCACAGCTCTCCGGCTGGGGCCGGCCCTTCACCCCCTCCTCTGGTCACTCCTCCTGCCAACAGGGACCCCCAGACGCATAACCTCTCTCAGGGCTTCCAAAGCTTTGCTGGTTCAACTCATGGCTCCACCCCCAACCCTCAACTGATGGCAGGTGAGATTCCGTGCCTGGATCCCATGTTCCCTAGCTGATGGCAGGTGAGATTCCACGCCTGGATCCCATGTCCCCCAGCTGACAGCAGGTGAGGACACAATTTCTTTCTCTTCCTCTCTTTCCTGCTGTGGTCAAGCTTTCCCACTTTAAGTCAACCACACCTGAGACTGTGGGCCAATTGTGCTTCTGGCTCGGTGGTACCCGCAGTGGGCCCTGTCGGCCTCCCTGGGGAGCCTGGGGGATGCTCAGGGGCTTCTGCTCCTAAGGTGTCAAGGGTCCCCAGGATGAGGGTAGGGGGTGGATTACCTTGTCTGCCCCACACTCTGTGCCATCCAGCGGAGGGTCCAGCTTAGTCTTGCAGGAGGTGTCTCCTTCCACCAGACACCACAGCCCCGCACACATCAAATGCTGCTGACAAGGAAGAATAGGACAACTGATGGGGACACAGAGGTCAGTGGAGTCACGATGGGGGGTGGCACCATGCATGCGGATTTGAGGTTGGAAGCAGGCGGAGGAAAAGGAGGATGGGAAGAAAGGAAAGGAGGAAGGAAGGAAGGGAGGGAGGGAGGGAAGGAGGGAGGGAGGGAGGGAGGGAAGGAAAAAGGGAAGTAGGAGAAAAGGATGGGAGGGAAGGAGGAGAGATGGGGGTGGAAGAAAGGAGGGAAGGAAGGAGGGAAGGGAAGGGAAGGAAGGAAAGAGGGAAGGAAAGTAGGAAGGAAAAAAGAAAGGAAGGAAGGAGGAAGGAAGAGGAAGGAGGAAGGAGGGAGGAAGGGAAGAGGGAAGGAAGAAAGGGAGGAAGGGAAGGAGGGAAAGAGGCAGCTCGGGAGTCTGGAAGTCAAAGAACAGCGAACAACACATTTCCTGGCATAATCATTGCAGATATTATGGCATCATAAGGTGTACGACCATGGGGAAGATTTTCAAAATTAAGTTTTTATCATGGCACTGTTACTGACAAAATCAAAGCTGAGGACAAGCACTTTAGAGGACAATGCTGCAGCCCCTCAGAGGGTCCCCACCTCCCTCCCACCCCCAACCTGCTCCTTAACAGGCACCTTTAAAGTGTGGGTGTTGTAGTCTGGACCTCTCATTCTCAGTGCTGCTGGCTCTGAGGCTTAGACACACACACACCCACACCCCACACACCCCACACACACACATCACATCCCCCCCCCACACATCCCCCACCCACACATCACACACACACACACCACATATCCCCACCCCCAACACACACACCACAGATATACCAATGCCACATCTGGAAAATCTCGGGGCCAGAGCGACAGGACAGCGGGAGGGCCAGCTGGGCTCCGTCCCCGGCACCCCATGTTTTCCCGAGCCGCTCCAGAGCGAGCCCTGAGTGCAGAGCCAGGAGTAACTCTAAAACACCACGGGGTGTGACCTGCAAGCAGAAGCAAACCCCACTGCACCCCCAAATAACTACACTCATGCGGTGGTGGTGGAAACTCTTCAGTGAAATACGGCCACAGGTGCATCACTGCACCTGCGTTCATTCTACTCAGCAAGATTCCATGTTCCTGCACCTACGACCCCCCAGATTTGGTGACAGCATGAGCTACGGGGGGGGTATGGGAGGGGGAGCAGGAGGGGGCAGTGTGAAAGAACAGGTGCTGGACGTGGGCTGCTACAGCTGCTGAAGGACTGCCCTGGCCACACTTAGGACCACCCCATACCAAGCCCCAGGGAGAGGCCAGGAAGAACAGGCGCCAGATCCCTTGTGGTGACTATGGAGGGCACTGGCTTAGCAAGTGGCTGACTTGGGTTTGACCCCCACTACCTCATAGGGTCCCCTCAGCAAAGGAGTGAGCCCTGAGCACAGAGCCAGGAGTCATCTCTGAGCACCGCCAGACATGGCCCCGAATCGAATCCTAGAACAGAAATGACTTTGGGAAGGACGTGCGAGTTATTACAGCCAGTGGGCAAGAGCTGGGCAGGGCAGTGCGTGCGGTGGGGAAGGAGGGCCCTGACATCAATGACAAGGACCCAGCAAGAGAGAACAGAACAGACACAGCGAGGGATGGGCCGACCGTGGCCCAGAGCCCAGTGGGGCTCCCCAGGGCGCTTCTCCCTCCAGACCTAGTGAGGTGCCGTGCAGAACCCTCAGGCAGCTCAACACCAGCAGGAGAAGCGGCATTTCTGCCATGTGCCCAGCCAGCCATGGGGTGGAACATGCCACGCTCAATTCTTGCTTCTACCGCCTGTGGCCTCGCTGGCCATACAGAGGCGCTCGTCAAGGTCCCATTGGCAAACGCCTCTATTTTGCAGCTAAGATTATTTCACGAGAGTGCCAATAGTTCCGTGCTATACTGCACGACGATGCCTGAGCAGGCCGTCCACCACGCTGTCCCTCCCTCCAGCAGAGTCCTCTGGGTCCTGTTAGCTCTCTCACCCCTCGGACTCCCCGCTTCTCTGGCCAGACCCTGGCGGTTTGCTCCCATGGCCTGCGTCTGCTTCCTCGCCCTGCTCTGCAGGCCCACCTGTCGTGGGATCTCTTCCGGCACTTGTCTCTCTTCTTATTTCCGCTGAACACGGACCCTCCGGTGCTTCTCCACGCGGCCCGGGAAGGTGTGACTCCATTTGTCTCACTTTGCCCCCCATCTGTGCTGGGGCATGTGACCCATGTTTCGACTCTGTGTGAAAGTCGAGGGGATGGCGGGTGTGGAGAGATCCTCCCCGTCAGCGCTGCCTGATCCGTTCTCCTCTGAGCTGCCGGGCTGTGTGATGGGAGCGTTTCTGAATGGCTGGAGGAAATCTCTGAATCCCGTTCCACAGGGGTGCGGCCTGCGGTCACTGCACTCAGCAGCTCCAGGGGCACATCTAGGGCGTCCGTGAGCCCTGCTAGTGAGGGCCGTGGCCTCACCCCTCCAGCCATCTGTCTGTCCTCCTGGGAGTGGGTCCCAGCTCCTCCACGCCGTGGATGGCAGCCGACGGAAACAGCAGGGCCTTGTAATCATAAAATAGATGAATCGGGCTAATTGCATGAAGTTTATTTGCCCTTGCTGATAAATATTTATCGCCCCTAGTTCATGGCTTTGATGTTTGGGCTTTCTCAAACGGCTCCATCCGATTCAAAACATCACATGCCCATTGGCTAAACGCGGAGACAGCTGCATGTGCCAATAACTTCTGCTGCGAACGCCAGTGATGGAGGCCAAACTTTTTTTTGGTTTTGTTTTGTTTTTTGAGCTCTTCTTTCCATAGATGGGCTGGAACCGGACAAACCCCCACCCCCACTCCCCCAGTCGGCAGATAGACACGATGTGACATGACAAGCCGGCGTGGAGAGTGCTGGCGGCTCAGCGGGCGCGAACACGGAAACACATGTGGAAAAACACATGTGCCGGCTTCTGCTGCTCTCGGCTCTCTGGCGAGCGATGTCCACACAGCGGGAACCTGGTTGCTACGGCACTGGGAGGCTGCTCCCCACAGCCACGTTTCCCTAAGGCCATTTGCCCTGCACCTTGGAGCGAGGACAGGGCTTTTAATTTGGGGTTGGGGCTGACAGTGGCCAAGGAGGTCCCGTATTTGGAAACCCACCCGAGAGCTTCTCCCGGGCAAGTTGCCGCCCTGGGACGGAGGCTGGGCCACCGCCACTCTCCAGCACCCGTGGCGGGGCGCGGGACCCTTTGGCACCAAGGCTCGACATTTCTCATCATCTCTGAAGTATGTATGGTTGCCAAGGAAACAGACAGACTCCAAATCCAAGCGTGAAACAGGCAAGGAGTTCCTGGGGATAATAAAACCAGGATGCGGCTTGGAGGCCTGGTGCTGCCAAGTGTACCCGCCCACGACGCCGGGGCTCCTTCCACAATGCCCGTACTGCAGTCCCTGACCCCCAGCTCTGTCCCCTCTGCTTCCCAGCTCACTCCCTCCCTCCATAATTGGATCCAGGCATCCAGGCAGGTAACCAGGTGGCCAGATAAGAGACTCCTGTCAGCCCCGTCTCCTGAGGGCCATGTCCAGTCCTGGGCATGAAGGCTCCATGCGTTTCATCTGGTGTCCAATGGGAGGGGATGTCCCGTCTCTGCTGACTCCTTCTCGGCTGAAGGCAGAGCCAGGATGGCCTTTAGGTGACCGTAAAATGGTCACTCAATGGCCTTGTGGGGTGAGGGGGTCAGAGATCTTTCTGTCTTTCTGTTGACTTTGGGGTGTCTGGCTGCCTGGCAAGGCCAGGTCTGGGCTGACCGGGGTCCAGAGTTAGACATGAGGGAAATGTGACCCCAGAGCTACAGACAGTGATCTTGGCAGGTGGGACAGCACAGTCGGTGTCCAGAGGGGGTGAGGAACAGCACTGGGGTAGAGGGGACACTTCATGGCAGACCCAGAGTGAGCCCCCAACGAGCTGGTAAAGGAACAGCTGAAAACCACAGAAGCCTTTTTATTGCTGGTTCACATTCAGTGTGTTGAGGCATCACTCCTTGAGGGCTCAGGAAACCGAACAGGTGCGGGGGACCGAACCTGGCAGGTTGTAGCCAAGGCAAGCACAGTACTCCCACTCCATCTCTCCGCCCCATTCGGAGAAGCCCCCAGAGAACCCTGGGCAAAGGGGAATCCTGGTACCAGATGATGTCCATAAGGACTTTGGTACAAGCCCCTGTGCCCATCAGGACGTGGAATAAGGTGAGGGTTAGGGGCCTTGAGCCACCCACAAGAGCCACTCACACGACCCTCCACAAGGGGGCACTGCACCTGCCTGGGCAGAACCTGGAAGGGCAGCCCCAACTACCTGCGCCCGCACCCTGGCACTGCCCGCCTGCCCCTCTCACAGGGAGTGTCCGTGTCTAAGCTGCGGCTTCCCCCAAGCATCCGTGGCGGGCGATGCCCCATGTCTGCCCAGCTCTCTGACCAGGAGCCATGCCAGGGCTCGAACCTGCCGCGTGGTCCCTCCAGCCCTGGGTGTGGCACGTGAGCGTACCCGTGGGTGCTGGTGTGTGTGCGGGTGCCTGGGCACAGGGGCTGCATGCCCACACGTGTTGCGTGTATGTTCTGTGGTGCACGGGGCGGGGGGGGGGGGGAGCTGCATACCTCCATGTTCTTGCAGAAGGTGGCGTTGGTGCCAAACAGGATCTGGCACTGCTCGTTGGCACTGTAGTGCATGCCCGGGAGCTTGGAGGGCAGGGGCAGCGCGTGCTGGCTCCTGGGGTCTGTCACCAGCAGGCAGGTGCTGATTTTCGACCTGCAACAGCAGAGAGGCATGCGTTGGGAGAGACTGTGTGCACCACCTCCGGTGAGCAGAGCGTGCGGCTGAGTGGGGGTCCTCTGTGGGGGGCTGCAGAGGAGCCCCACACAGGCACACCCCCCACCTGGGGGCACACGAGGCCGGCAGGGGGGGAGGGGGAGACCAACGCTTTCAGGCAGCCTGCGGCCACACTTTCTTATGCTATAAGCGAAATGTCAAGGGGTCGGAGTGATAGTACAGTGGGGAAGGCACTTGCCTTGCATGTGGCAACCCGTGTTCAATCCCCAACATCCCATATGGTCCCCTGAGCAGAGCCAGGGGTAATTCCTGAGTGCAGAGCCAGGAGTAACCCCTGTGCATCGCTGGGTGTGGCCCAAAAGGCAGGAGAAAAAAAAAGCTAAAGGTACGGAGAAAGAAACCCAGAATTATTCTTTCTTCTTTTTTTTCCCTGCTTTTGGGGTCACACCTGGCAATGCACAGGGGTTACTCCTGGATCCGCACTCAGGAATTACTCCTGGCAGTGCTCAGGGGACCACATGGGATGCTGGGAATTGAACCCGGGTCAGCCGTGTGCAAGGCAAACACCCTATCCGCTGTGCTATTGCTCCAGCCCTTCTCCTTCCTTCCTTCCTTCCTTCCTTCCTTCCTTCCTTCCTTCCTTCCTTTTCTCTTTTTTTCCTTCCTTCAAAGTGCTGCTCCTAACTGCAGACCCTTTGTGTGTTGGGGAGGGGACGCTGTCCAGGGTGGCAGTGAACAGGCTGCCTGGTCAGAACTGTGCCCTGGCCGCACCCACTGCCTGGCTCCAGAATTTCAATGTGGGACCACTTGGGGGAAGGGGATGCAGAGAGCACCTCGGGTGGGGCCCTGGGCCCGGGGAGGCAGCGACAGACCCAAAGAAGGGTGCGCTGAAGGCTTGTCACCTTCACGTCCGAGAACCAGAGGGAGGCGGCTCACAGCACCCATCGCCCCAGCACCCCGCCCGCATCCCTGAGTCAGCGCGGCAGGCAAACCCATCCACCCTGGTGCCCTGGCCCATGTCCCAGAGTCAGCATGGCCCAGCCCCCAGCCCTGGGTTGTGTGTCCGCATGCCCGAGGCCGAGGGCCCGGGGCTGTGTGTGTGGGCAGCAGAGCAGCCGCCCCAAGAACCCAGGTCTACACAGCGTGTGCATCCCTGGGGGTGGGTTCCTATAACACCACCAGACCGAATGCCAGCCCGACGCACCCACAGGTGTGGGGCCTGTGGACAGAGGCCAGGAGGGACGTGGCACCCTCAGGCCGGCCGCTTCTGCAGGGCCTGGATCGGGCCCAGCCTCACACTTGCTGGCAAATCAGTACAGTGCTGAGCTCCCCACTCTCCCGGCCATACACTGGACCAACCTTTGCTATTTGGGGCGTGCAGAGGGGGTCCAGAGACCCATCCCCATGGACTCCAGTGGACACTCACTCAGCTTCGCAGAGCCAACACTTGGATGTGGATTTCCAACTGCGCCCATCACCCTGCAGTGTCTCGGGTCCAGTGCCCCCTGTGCAGTGCCGCCCAGAGGCTGGGGTCCAGTGGAGTCCCATGGGGGTGCCTCCCAGACTTACTTCAGGAAGTTCTCGAGGTCCTCTCGGCTGCAGGGGGACCAGGACAGGTCGCTGGGGCTCCGCCCTTTCACCCACTCTCCCGACATGATGTGGGACCGGCCGGCGCAGGACGCGTGGTCATCGTCATGGTTCATGCCCAAGCTGTCAGAGGGGAGAGAGGGGGCAGGGAGGGGTGGCGGGGAGGGACGGGCCTTTATACCACAGGAACCCGCCCCAGCCCCATGCTCTGGGGTGGGGGACAGCGGCCCGTGCTCGGGGACAGCAGGAGGGCATGAGACCGGCATATGGGGAGTTGGCTCAGGCCTGGGTAGATGAGCACCTTGCCCGTGTCTCTGACCGCACCTGCTTTTGCCCAGGGAGCAGCAGGACTGTGACCCCCCAACCCCCCAGAGTGTGGGCTCTGGTGGTGGCCGGGCTGGAGCCATGTGGAGCCCAGCAGACCAGCACCCAGTAAGCATCGGGCCAGGCACATGGGCCCCCTGAGAACCAGGGCAGTAAGGGATGAGACAGGAGGGGACACCCAGGCACCCAACAGAGAAGCCGCCGTGAATCCTGAGGCCTGGCGGGCTACTGCCTCCTGCAGGCAGCCCCATCTCAGGCTAGAGAACCCACTGCCCCTCAGTCCGGGTTCCTGGGGGCGTCTCCACAGACAGCGTCCAGAGAAGCCACAAGGCGGAGAGTGACCACAAGTGTGAGTCTCCCCATTACCAGTCAACGGCGTCCCCACTGCCCCTGACTCTGCTGCCCCAAGGACCATCCAGTCGGCAGCACATCCTGTGCAAGCCCAGCTGCCCCTGGCCAGGCTTCCCCACAACACATTTGATCCCCAAACACCTCCCCTCGTACCCCTAACACGGTGCCTTGGGGCCGCACTGGCTGCAGGGTGGATGTCTTGGTGGAGGGGGCCAGGGGGAGATGATGCCGGGACCAAGCCCCCCAGCAAGGCGGGTGGGGGGTTCTTACACTTGAGATTGGGGGAGGCTCCCTGGGGCTGGGGTTTGGGGAGCCTGGGAAACACCCTCAGCCCTCTAGCCAGCCTCCTGCCCGCCCCAACACCCACTGGGCACTCCACCGAAGGCACACCAGGGGTCTGCCCTTCCACACCATGTGGAATGGGTATGAATGGGGTGGCATGGGAGAGGAAACGCCACACTTTGGGGGGCTTAAAAAGAAACCAGAGTTCCCCCTGTGCCAGGCACAGCACATTTCACAGGATCTCTTGTTCACCTCGCTTTACAGATGGGGAAACTGAGGCAAAGAAAGATGGAGATGTTGCCCTGGGCCAGGGAATAGACATGTGGTCTCAGTGCTGAGTCTCCACACTGGGTCCAGCCCGGACAGGGTCACTGGGAGAACCAAGGGCAGGGAAGGGCCGGAGTGACAGGACAGTGGGGAGGGTGCTTGTCTTGCACGCAGCCGACCTGAGTTCAATCCCCAACATCCCATAGGATCCCTCAAGCACCGCCAGGAGTGATTCCTGAGCACAGAGCCAGGAGTAACCCCAGAGCATCACTAAGTGTGCCCCCAAAAGCCAAAATAAGTCAAAGAACCAAGGACAGGGTCCTGGAGCTCAGGGGTGCGGGATGGGTGTCCACCCAGGGGTTACCGCAGGGAGTCAGAAGGACACTGGCAGGAGAACAGGGGCCAAGGGGACACTTGGAACCCCTGAGCTGTTGGGGGTTCGGATGTGGTCCCCATCTTTCAAATACATCTGTGCTGAGTGGAACTGTCCCTTCCCGAGATGCCTGAGGCACCAAGGCCAGGAGAGGGTTCCACATACCATGGGCCTGAGAGGGATGTGGGGGTCTCCTCTCTGGGAGTCCCTGAAACTTTGAAACATGAGGCACATGCAGGTGGGAACACCCAAGCCCTGACCCCCTCTGAGCGGAGCCCCAGGGTCTGGGCTCACGATGAAGTCACGAGGGGTGTGGTGGCCCCACTGTACAGAGAGAAAAGCAACAACCCAGGGCACAGTGCCAGAGTGGCCCCTGGTCAGGCCTCTGGTCACCTCTGGGTGGCAGAGTGGGCCTCATGGACGTGTCCTCTGGCCCTCAGAGAAAGCTGGGCTCCCCGCAGCCATCATCTTCGCTCACAAGGCGTGTCTTTGAGAAAACATCTGAAAGGGAATGCCCCCTGCAGCACAATGGTGTGTGTGTGTGGGGGGGGGGGTCTTTTTTCCAAAGGGGCAAAAGGAAGGAGGGAGCGGTGCTGGGACCACTGGGGCTCTGTGCCCGTCTCCGTGCCCGGGCAACGCCTTCGCCCCGTAAACACCAAGGGGTCTGAAACCTCCAAGCAATGGGAGGGACTTTGTCACTATTCGTTTTGCCTAATAAATTTTGCTCGAGCGGGCCCAGTAACGTCTCCATTGGAGACTTTGTTGTTACTGTGTCTGGCATATAAAAAATTATTTTTGGGTTTGGTAGCTGTATCTGGTGGTGCTCAGGGATCACTCCTGGAGGTGCCTGGGGGACCCTCTGGGGTGGTGAGGATCAAACCCAGGTGGGGTGTGTGCAAGACAAGTCTTCACGCCTGTCCGTGCGCTTTCTCTCCCTCTTCTCTCTCCTTCCCTCCCTCCCTCCCTCTCTCACACTTGTTAGCTCAGAAGAAAGATTCTCCACCTCAGAGCTTCTTGCAGTGATCCCTACTGCTTTACGGGCACTTGACTGATAAAGATAAAAATCATTTCTTCAGGCCCTTAACACGGCAATGTCCTGGCAAAGGAGCCGCCTGCAGCCCCTGAGGGTCCAGGTGATGGGCTGGACTTAGCCAACCAGAGGAAGCTGTGGAGGATTCGGCCAGCCTGCACCGTCAGGACCCACCTGCAGAAGGGACAAGGGACACAAGGGACCCCTGGGCCGGGCAAAGCTGGCCAGCAGGTGCTGCGGCTCCAGGCCTGGGCAAGCAGCAGGTCAGAAAAAGCCCTCAGTCACTGCTATCCCTGGCCCGGGCACAGCGGCTGGCGATTCAGTGACCCCTGGGAGTGAGGAGAGACACTGCACATCGAAGGTGCCGGAAAGGGGGGCCGGGCCCTGCACAGCGCGGACTGCGGCCTCCAGGCCCACGTAACTTTCTACCTGTGTCTCAGCGCCAGGCTGTCAGAGGTACCTCCTCCTCTGCCATGCCCCCAACTCTCCACAACTCTCGCCCCATGGAGGTGCTGGGGTGGGGGGTTCTCAGAGGGATGAACTTCACAAAGCCCAGTAGTGACCCTTCCATGTCCCAGGTTTGGATGGCTCCAAAAGAATGTTCCGGAAAAGGAGTTGCACTCCGCCCCTCAGTGTGGGAAGGGCTGCTGGCCCTCGGTCACTGCGGCTCAGTTCCGGAAGGAGGCCTGTCCCCCTCACACCTGCAACGCCTACGAGGCATGCCCCTCCCCACGCCTCCGTGCAAGCCCACAGGCTTATTTCTCCCTGCCAAGGCTCCTTTCCTGCACTCCAACCAGAAACGGTTTTGGACAGTGATAGTTGTTGATGAGGTGTGATTCCACTTTGGTACAGAGCGGATGAGGCTGCACGGCCTGGCAGTGAAGAAGCAGGACAGACAGATGGATCCCCGGACAGCCAGACCCCGGTGAGCACAGACCGCCATGGCCAACAGAGGCGACCCCCAGAGCACCCCACGCTGAGCTGCAACCCCCCCAGCCAGTGTCCTGGGGATGTCAAGAAGGGGAGGAGACCAGAGAAGTTGGGGCCGGGGACAGCACAGGATGAGGGGACCCCCCCAGCGCCCCTGGGTGCAGCCACAGAGGCATTCTGAGTCTCCCAGGTGTCCATCCCTAAGCCCCCAGCGACCACCCCCCCCAGGGCCCGAACAGCACCAACCTTGTGGCCCCACACAACCGTGTGCCAGGGGGGCCCCCAGACCTTCTGGGCAGCATGCAGGAGTCCAGACTAACAAACCTGAGGGCACCTACCCCGATTGCCAGCCCCGAAGGCCAACGCGGCACAGCGGGACCTCGGTCTGGGCTCTGCCATGCCCAGCTGTCCTGGAGAGGGGGCCCTACCTGACCCTACCCCATGGTGGACTGGGTCTGGGGGCGCGGGTGTCCCCACACGCTCCAGGGTTCAGCGGCAGCTTGTCGCCAGATCTTAGCACACACCAGATTAAGTGCTGAGGCCCAAGCCAGGTCCCGTGGCTATGCTTTGGTGTCTATTTTTTTGTTTGGCTTTCGAGCCATACCCGGCTGTGCTTTGGGCTGGCTCCGAGCTCTGTGCTCAGGGCTGATTCTCAGGGATCCTATTGGGTACCGGGGATTGAACCCGGTTTGGCTGCACGCAAGGCCGGTGTCCTCCTGCTGCTCCACCCCTCTGACCCCTTTATGGTGTCTATTCTCCTGGACCAGGGCCTGGCAGATGGGGATGGGGGTGGAGGGGGGGACCTGCTCTACCCCCCAGCAGGCCTGTCTTTAACAGGCATGACAGGGTGAGGGTGCCACCCCACCCCAGCCATGCAGGCAGAGAAGCTGGTTCCCCCCCTCCAAGCCCACTGTTCTAGAGCTGGATGAAGTGAAGCCACTCACCCCCCCTCACCCACCCCTCGGGGCCCCGCTGGCACCAAACAGGCGGTAACTAAAAGCCGGGTGAGAGAAAGGATTCCGGGCCTCTGCGAGGGCAGGAAAGCGTGTCTCTGGGGCAAGCTGAGTCAGGAACAAAACTGAAACCACTTCCTTTCAGCCCATCAGCAGCGAGGGGCTGTGTCTGGCCTGGCAGACGCTGCACCGTGCCGGGGGCGGAGAGCCGGACGCCAGTGATCCTGCTGCCCGCTGGGGGCCCGGGCCGGCGCCTTCCTGCTGTGGGACACTGGCAGGTTCTGGAAGACCCAGAGGACAGCCACCGGTGTGTCCCGGCTCCCGCAGAGCCTGCTGGCATGGCCAGTGTCCCTGGCCAGAAACGCGGCTCCTTCTGGAACTCTCTTGGGCCCTGGAGGCAGGGTTGATTTGTCCTTTGGTTTGGGGGCCACACCAGTAGTGCTTGCGGCCGGGCAGAATCGGGCCTCTGCGTGCTGAAAGCCCGCCTGTGCCCCCAACTTCTTCACTGTCTGAGGCATCCCACGGAACCCTGCAGTCCTCCATCGGGCCACTGCGGCAGGTGTAGCCGGAGAGATCCCGACTGGTCTCTGCCCACAGGCAGCCCCCACACCAG